GTTATGTACAAGAGGTACTGGGGCTCATCTGGTGCTGCTGTGGGACCTTATCTTGCCTGACTCTCCGAGGTCCCTGTGACCCCTCTTCTCAGTTCTTCTTAAATATTACGTGTATGAATCATCTTTATGTGTTTATGTATGTATGTTCTTCATTCTCTCTTTTTTCAACTTTTCAGAAAGGTGCTGTTGATGTCACCGGCGCTCTTTTCCAAATGTACGATACTCCCCGTAGTTTTGTCTTCTACGGCTCGTGTCTTGTACCCTCTATCCTCTTTGCTCCGTGTCTGATCGAGTAATAAACGATCTCAAATATAAAACATGCAGTAAAAAGTAAAAGAGCAGTGTCGGCCACACAGCGGCTCAAGACTGTTGTCATGGAGACAGAATGGATGTGCAGCATGCGACGATCCCGTGAGCACAGCCAGCTCTTTTTTCTTCCTGGAGAAAAACACTAGGTGGACACGAGGCCTCATCACTATACCTTTTATTTTATTATTATTTTGTATACTTTTTTCTCCATTAATATTTATATAAACTGTATATTGACTTATTTTTTTAGTTTTAGTTTGTTTTCTCTTTGCTTCCCACTCAGCTCCTCTCTTCGATGCATCACACTGCCACACACACATTCACACATTTTATAATACACTACCTCAACATAAAAGTTACAGCTTGACTTTCACCATATCTCATTTAAATGTATTTGCCCGTATTGTTGTGTTGTATCTTTGCTAATGTGGTTTAAAGAGTTTTGGACAGCGATGTAGTGGAACTAATAACAAGAAGATTGTCTTAGAGATTTCACTTCAAGCTGCAGGAAGAGAAACGAGACTGTTTTCTGTGTTCCTGCTCTGAAGAAGCTCCGCCCCCTCACCTGTCTCACCTGAGACAAACCAGGAAACAGGCTGTTATTCTGCCTCACTCTGAAGAGACACACACGCTGACAGACGGACCGACCTGCAGACACAAACCAGCACGACTTCCACTGAGAGAGGACAGGAGGAGGAGGAGGGGATACTGGGAGTACTTGTTATACTGGGATACTGGGAATACCAACACTTCAACCTGCTGCTGAATCCACAAACTGAACGTGAGTTTCAAAGAAAAACAATCAAAGTGAAAGTAACTCTGAGGGACGGGGAGTGGCTTCCTGTTTTTTCTGCTTGACTCTGAGATAAAATGGCGTCTAAGTTAGAGAAAGATCTGAGCTGTCCGATCTGCCTTGAGATCTTTAAAGATCCAGTCACCCTGTCCTGCTTCCACAGCTTCTGTAAAGACTGTCTGCAGAGCTGCTGGAAGGAGAAGGAAAATAAGGAGTGTCCACTCTGTAAGAGGAGACATTCAAGGGAAGGATTTCCTCTAAACTTTGCTTTAAAGAACCTGTGTGAGAGTTTTGTGCAGGAGAGAGATCAGAGAGCTTCAGAGGATCTCTGCAGTCTGCACTCTGAGAAACTCAAACTCTTCTGTCTGGACCATCAGGAGCCGGTGTGTGTCATCTGCAGAGATTCAGAAAAACACTCTGATCACAGATTCAGACCCATCGATGAAGCTGCTCAAGAACACAAGGACAAACTTCAGGAAACTCTGGAGCCGGTAAAGAAGAAGTTAAATGTTTTTAAAGAAGTTAAAGTGAAGTTTGATCAAACAGCAGAACACATTCAGGTCCAGGCCCGACACACAGAGAGGCAGATTAAGGAGCAGTTTAAGAAGCTTCACCAGTTTCTAGAAGAGGAAGAGGAGGCCAGGCTGTGTGCACTGAGGGAGGAAGAGGAGCAGAAGAGTCAGAGGATGAAGGAGGAGATGGAGGCTCTGAGCAGAGAGATAGCAGCTCTTTCACACACAGTCAGAGACACAGAGGACGAGCTGAGAGCTGAAGACGTCTCATTCCTGAAAAACTACAAGGCTGCAGTGGAAAGAGTCCAGCAGCGCCCCCTGCTGGAGGATCCACAGCTGCCCTCAGGAGCTCTGATAGACCAGGCCAAACACCTGGGCAACCTGACCTTCAACATCTGGAACAAGATGAAGGACATGGTCTCCTACAGTCCGGTCATTCTGGACCCAAACACTGCTAATCCACTTCTCATCCTGTCTGAAGATCTGACCTGTGTGAGAGGAGGAGAGAGACAGAAGCTTCCTGATAATCCAGAGAGGTTTGATTATTTCTGCTCTGTCCTGGGCTCTGAGGGCTTTAACTCAGGGACTCACCGCTGGGACGTCCAGGTTGGAGACAGTACACACTGGTTACTGGGTGTGTTAGCAGAGTCTGTAAAGAGGAAGGGAAACATACTGTCTGGATTATGGAGAATAGGGTTCTATGGTGGTGAATACACAGCACTCTCCTCATCACATCCAGTCACTGATCTCTCAGTGAAGAAGAATCCTCAGAGGATCAGAGTGAATCTGGACTGTAACAGAGGAGAGCTGTCGTTCTCTGATCCTGATACTAACACACACATACACACCTTCACACACACTTTCACTGAGAGGATGTTTCCATTCATTAACACTGGTGATAAACTAAAGATTTTACCAGAGAAGATCTCTGTGACTGTGGAACACTAATACATGATGATGATGATGTTCTGAATCTTCGTCTCTGATTCTCTTAGGGTTGTGTGACTGCGTTGTCATGGTGATGGTGATGTTGTTTTGTTGAATCATTCGTTATAACTTTGAGTATTTCCACAGCAGGTAAAATCTTGATCCTGATTGGTTGGTTTGTTGGAGTCTATTTAAAGATAATCTGCTCAGCGTGTTAACTGGTTAACTGTCATCTGTTGCTTCAGCTGCTGTGAACGTTTGATTTCTGACTTTTTCACTTGAACTCTGAGGAGTCCCTGAAGGCATCATCTGTATCTTTGTGTGCATTATGAGTTATTATCCTGCATGGAGAGAATAAAACAGTAATGATTATTATCTGATCTGAAATCACTCTACAGTTGTAGAATAATAACTTCAGATCATCACGTTTTCCTCTTCTTACTAAATCGTAGTTCCATCTTTAATCTTGTTGGTGTAGTCAGGGCTGTAACCAGGGTTTAGAAAATAGTGAGGTCCAGAATTCTTTCTGTTAATATATCGTATTCAAGGCATTTTGGGACATGCAAGATTCATGGCCAAATGATACCTTCAAATTCAACAGAAGCTAAACACCCAACCAACACAAACTCACACACACATTCACTTCCTGTATGTAAAGTGAATGATCTGTAGATCACGTGCAGCCCGAACCACGGGTGGTTATCCAAATAGAGCATCCATGACATTCAAAAGTAAACATTTTAAGCAGCTTTCATTTCTTTTCCTGCATTGTGGTCAGTTTTTATTCACCATTTTTTGTTTTGTTTCTGCAGAACTTTATGATTCTTATCTCGTCTTTTTGTCCTTTTTGTGTCTTATGCACAATAATGAATGCATTCATTGAATATTTTATAAACATGTGGACTGGACAGTTGACTCTGCACTATTCCAGCCCTGCAAAGTTTCTGTTTACAAGTAGCCAATATGTAAAAGTGATATATAATTTAGTACGGCATTATTTTGTTTATGAACTTGTAAGAATGGCAAACTTTGAACTTTTAAACAAAATGATCCAGATTGTGATTAATTTTCTGTGACAAATGGTCATACAGTGATCTTATCTTTGATGTTTGTTTGGTTTATTGTTGTTCTTGTTTTAAGAGGGGTTAGGACAGTTTGATGACTATCGCACAAGAGAGAGAGAGAGAGAGAGAGAGAGAGACTGAGAGAGAGAGAGAGAGCAGTTTTTTATTTTTCCTTACTTATTCTTCGGGGGCTCCAAATAACTCAACATTAATCCTGTTTTTTAAAGTTTGAGTCATTCTGGAGCTTCATTCTACAAAGGTATGGCTCCGTAGATTTGTTATCATGTTTGAAATGTCAAATATCAGACCTGAAGACTGTCTTTGTCAAAGCTTTTGTTCATGTTTCTTTACCATCTTCATCTTCAGTGGATGAAACGTCCTCTGAAGAATCCAAACTAAGAACGCTTTATGTTCTTTGAAAACAACAAAGAGTTCAAAATAAAGAGTCAAAATATCTTGTTAGTGTGAATCCTCTGTCACCTGTAATCACTCATCAATAAAGTATTTCTACACTTGATCTGAATCCCTCTTTATAACTCGTGTTGTGTGTTTTATTGATGCTTGTAAATGTCATCATGGACGACTCTTTCTCCTGACAGAATGAGTTTGTCTCTGTGATTAATAATAAAGTTATTCTTATTAATTCAGGTGTTTCTTTAACTCCAGTCTGAACCTGCGACATGTGAAATCAAGTCGATCAGTGTCGTCTCTGACTCGTCCATCAGGTCGGACAGGAGAAAAGAAATGTCCTGAAGGGAAAGAGTTTGATTCAGAGATCCAACGAGCTCTGGAGAACACGGGTTCATTAATGAAGGTTAACCACCTGATGAACATCACATGTCAGTTATTGAACACTTTAACCGTTTGAAGATTTATTAGAGGAGGAACAGCAGCTCACAGCGACACTTAAACCCCTCCACCACCTTAAGCTGATGATTCTTGGAGGGAACACTCAAAATATTGATTGTAATTCAACGATTGAAACTTTATTCCTTTTTAAGAAATTATTAAAGAGAAGTTGAGTCTGTGTGTGTGTTAGAGGTCTAAGACAGCAAATTAATAATAATTTAAAGACAGAAAACACTGTCCCTCAGTGCTCCGTCTGCACCCCCTCCCCTCTGTGCTCCCTCTAAAGCCACGCCCCCTCACTTACGCTGAGGGGACTTACAAACTGATACAGATGATGGATTTTCTTTGTTCCTTTTTCAGAGAACATGAGTTATTCATTTCTGTCAGGACCTAAAGACAATTTACACCAAAATCTTAAAAAAGTGGATCTGGAGGAAATGACCAACTGGACTATTTTAAAGTCCAGTTATAGTCATACTGAGACAATAAATCCACTTTTGTAAACATCATGTAAACGTACTGACTGATTCATTTTATCAAAGAGACTCTAGCTGGAAAAAAGTTTATTTGCTGTCATCGAAACCAACAAGAAAAAAAAACCACATATCAGTTACGTCTTATGAGTAAAAGAAGAAGTCCTGTTCATGTTGATTTCATTATCTCCTACACGGGTAGCTCCTGTAGGATTTAACACCATTTCCCATAATCCCACCTTTGTCACTAAAGCGTTAATCTATTCTCTTCAGCGTGCGTGGTGACGTGGCGGCGCAGGTGGCTGCTGGAGATGAAGGTCTTGCCGCAGTGCGAGCACCTGAACTGCTTGCAGTCCGTGTGCACGCTCATGTGGACCTTCAGGGATCCCGACTGGGCGAAGCGTTTGCCGCAGTGGACGCAGTTGTAGCGTTTCTCTCCCGTGTGCACCCTCTGGTGGCGTTTCAGGTTGCTGGGGTCGGAGAAGCGTTTTCCGCAGAGCATGCAGACGTACGGCTTCTCGCCCGTGTGGACCCTCATGTGGGTCTTCAGGTTCTTCAGGCAGGCCAGAGTTTTCCCGCAGTAGTTGCACACAAACGTTTTCCCCGCGCTGTCCTCCCCGCTGTTACTGGACACCCTGCTCGCGGCGTCCAGATGTCTCCACCGGTCCCGTCTGAGGAAAGCACTTTGCCTCTCTCTCGTCTCTTTTCTCGCAGGAAGCTGCAGCGCCATCTGCTGGTTGTTCTGTAAGCCTGCAGGCTGTCTGCACTCTGCCACCGGCGGGCTCAGCTCCCCGACGGTGAAAGAAACGCTGCCCGAATCGGACGCAGCTGAAACTCTCCCTCTGGTGTTCGACGCGTACGAGCAGCTGGGATCCTCTGGCAAAGGATTCTGGGTACTCATTGAGCCGTGCTGAAGCTGTGGCTCGAACATCACACAGTCGAAGCTGCCGGTTTCTAAACTCTGGCTGGTGTTTGTCGTATTCTGGACGCACACTGAAGTGGAGCTGACTTCCTCGCTCGCCCAAGCTCGAGTAGAACCGCCACCTTCCTCCGTTACTTCCTGTTTAGTCAGCAGGGGCGGAGCTTCTGCGTCTGTCGTCTGTTCGTCAACAACAGGAATAAGATCTGCTGGAGAGAGAGAAAGAGAAATATCTTACCTTTCTTACATTTTCAGTATTCAGATAAAGAGCAGGTGTAGTGCGTACCTCTTGTCACATTAGTCTCAGAGACTCATCATGAATCATAAAAAAAAAACGTCCTTTAAAGCCTCGCTCACACTGTGAGATTTTCCCCCGATCGCATCAAAGTCGTGGTGGCACGTCAGCTCACACTGTACGACCTGATTGTCGGACACGTCCAGAGAGCTCACACTGTACGAGTGAAATTAGGACGGAGCGTTGACAGTTGTTAATAAAGTTTCATTTGAAAACCCCAACGGACGACGGCCGGTGAAAGAGAAGGAAGTGGAAGTTGTTGTAGGATTTAGGAAAGTTGATACAATCGTAGATATATGGAGACAAGTTTCAGAAAAGTGCTGCGCTGATGATCTGTACTGGTAAGTAAAAAAATAAAAGAAACACCGTGTTGCGTCCTGCCGCTGGTCGCCATGACTACAGTCCTCCCTTGTCTCTCGTGATTATATTGTAGTCACACATAACTTCTGCCGGACCCTTTCATGATCGTCAAGATTTTAAATTCTAAATATAAAACATGTTTGAAATAAATCGGGGCGTCCCCGACGATCGCCGGGCAGATCGGGGACGTTAAGATTGGATCTTTGGACCGCTCACACTACGAGATAATCTGAACAGATAATCGGGTCCAAGCAGCCTCGAGTCGGGAGAGACCCTGAGACTGTCAGGAAGGAAGAATCAGAGCTCAACAACAGGGCCCTGGTAGTGCTGGGCGATATATCATGAAGCTCGATTCCATCGATATTTAATTAATGCTTGATATGGAAAAGGGAACATCCATTTTATTTTTTAAACCACTTCAAAGTTTTCTCGCGATATTTCGTTGCTCCGAGAGATTTCCGCGGCAGCGCTTGTTGCTCGGAGACGAAAGGGCGGAGGAGACTCCACTCCTGCTGCTGAGGAGCCTCGCTCTTATAAGCGACCAACACGGAGGAGAAAGAGAAAGATGCGAGCGAGGCCGAATTACTTACAAAAAAAGGTTCATGACGCAGAGCTCAAGGATTGACAGTCCAGCTGATTGCAGGTTCAGCTGGAGGCTTCACTGCTGTCACTTCACTCGCTACACTCGAGTTGTTCACACTCAGATCTGAGAGCAGGTTTTCTCTGATAAAACACACGTTTGGTAAAACGGTTTTAAAACCATCAGATCCCGACAAAAGCCGAGTTTAAATCAGAATTCAAAGAGAAACAAATCACCAGAAGAGTGGAGAGTGACAGCAGGACGAAAACAGAGAAAAGTTTGATCCACAGTGACAGACAGCTGGAGGAGCTGGAACACGTTAAAGTTAAAGACTAGATCCTGCTAAAGATAAAAGTTATTCACAAACATGTTAACCCTTAAGAGAGCTCCTAAAGTAAAGATGTAAGGATGAAGAGTTTCTCACAGAGAAGAAAGAAGGAGAGATTCCAGATCTATCACAGCCTCATATTAAGTAGACTCTTACAGCATGGTGAATAAACATGAGCACATAAATATAAGAAAAATACACAATATGTTTATAATTAGAGCTCAATTAATTTAATAAAAGTTGTAATTAAATCTTGCATCAGAATGGTTCAAGAGTAAATTGGTGACTTTATTTTTAGAATCTAAAGTAATGTTCCTGGATCAGTGATATTTTTTTTATACAGTGGAGATTCACTTTTATAGGCTACATTTATAAACTTTAATACGATAAATATCGAGTCATTTAGGCAAAAAAATATTGTGATATCAAATTTAGGCCATATCGCCCAGCACTAGGTCCTGGGTCTTGTAGTTTTTTGCTGATGGCTAGTTGTAGTTTAAATCAATAATAATAGAAAAAGCAGTTATAAATCTAGACGTCTCATGTCCACATGTGGTTGTCGGTGTCCATCACTCATACTGTACTCACTGTCCTGAGCAGAGCAGCCCCAGGTCTCATCGTCGTCCTCCACTTTGATGACCGCGGTCGTCGGTTTGGCCGTCTCACCTGCAGCCGGCTGTAACGGAGCGCACAGAGAGCGAACACGATAAGAGCGAGGATGGTAATAAGGTCAGGAACTAGGACGGGAGAGGAGAGCGTCTCGTACTCACCGTCCCCTGTGTGGCGCCCCGTCCGGAGGATGGATCGATGTCTTCACACCGCAGTGTCTGAGCAGGTGCTCTGCACAGCACCAGCTCACCTGGAGGACGTGATAACACCTTTAAAGATCACGCACCTTCAGACGCACTGAGGTCACTATTTCATGAACAACGGATTCGTTTATACTTTAACACGACACAAAATGCTGCAAGTCCTCCTATTTAAGAAGCTTTAACCAGATACGAGGGATACATCGGTTCAACATCTGTATCGGCCGATAGCGAGCGAGTGACAGCGACTAAATCAGCTTGATTCTATTTTTCATTGTATTGGAGTGTCCTAACTGCCTACAGCGACGCAGAACGCCGTTTTAACCCTGACGTCCCGTTTCCTATTTTCCTCTGTCGCTCTCTAGCAGGGTCGAGGAAGGAGGAGGCTCTACGAGGCGCTGATACTCGTTAGCTTGTTTCACAAAGTGGGGAAAGTCCTGCATTAACAATATACACATACGTGATAGAAATGTTGAGCTGTGACTTGTTTTAACACCGGAGAAAAAACTATTGACAAGCCTCTGAGAAGAGCTCACCACACTTCAGTTTGTCCACCTTCAAAATAAAAGCACCACATGTCATACTGTTTGCAAAGGGGAGCTGAAATTATCCTAGCAGAGAAGTAAATATTTATGGGATGCAGAGCGGACAGCGATCGTGCACAAGTTGTTAGGAGACGGTGTTATTGTGAGAATATTTTATCCTTCATCAAATCAAAACTGATGAGTCATCAAAACATTCACCCCCCCGTACAGTGTGTGTCCATCCAGACATGAGCTAATCACACCTATTTGGTTTTTTGAACCAGGCTGTAAACATGTTCATCTCTGCTGTAAAAACAGACTTTTTAGAATGGGTGTGTATGTGACTTCCTGTGCTTCTGCAGCCAGCCTCTAGTGGACACTCCAGGAACTGCAGGATGCTGCACGTCCACATCGGCTTCATGTTTAAACACCGGACGTTGCAGCTCGGTAGGTGCAAAGACCTCTCAGTGTGACGTCATGTTAACGGTTACCTTTAGGTGTTCCGTTCCTCCTCGGCACGTTGCCAGGGTGATGATGAGCGGGCCACTGAGCTCGAGCGCGGCCGCTTCCGAGTGGCAGCGCGGTGCCGCTCGCGGTAGCCGCGGCGCGCAGGGCGGTCGCCCGGGCGGCTCGGAGCTCCATGAGCCGCAGCTTTCTCCGCAGCACGTCGTTCTCTTTGCGGCTCCGGGAGATCTCCAGCTGCAGCACCGAGTACTCGCTGTCCACCAGCTCGCAGATCTCCGCCACCGCCGTGTTGGCCAACACCTCCACGATGGAGGCGAGCTGTGCGTGGAAAGCAGCCGCCGGGGACATCTTAATAAACACAATGAGAACAGTCCAGATCACCTGAGGCGATGCAGGTGGTTAAAAAATACAACAGAAGCCCAGCGCCTGCTCAGAGTGCTCCGATTTAGACTCACAGCCGATGTAAACACAGCCGAGACTAACCAGGAAGTGATGCGTGTGTAGAGGACGAGAGAAAGGCCGGACTGCGCATGCGCAAAGGATCATTTCGCAATAGTCATGTACGACAGGGATGAGATGTTTTCACCCCTCAGAGAACACAAACATTCATATTTCATGACTAGAGTCAAAGTGTTTCTGAGGCTCTGTCGTTTATTCATTGATGTGTTTTGTCTTTTTGACCTTGTGGTCGTTTTAAACATCTTTTGAGTTCTGTGTTGTGTGTCTGAGGTCGACTGGCCTGTGTTTGGTTAAAGGTGGGTTTCCAGGACTCCTCTGTAGTTTGAGTCCCAGCTCATTTGGCTTCTCTTGTTTTCTACGGAAGAGGATTAGGGCCAGACACGAGAAAAGAACATGAAGAGGAGGAAGATTTTCTCTTTCAATAAGCAGCTCCAGAAAACAAAGATGAAAACTCAAAACATTGTTTATCAACTTTTATATCAATATTTCAACTTTTTCCTCGATATTGTTTTTCAATTTTATTCCCGACATTTCTGTTTCGACTCACACTATTTCCACTTTTTCACAATTTTACATTTAAAGTATTTTGACTTTTATTCTCTACATTTCAACGTTTTTTTGATATTTTGACTTTTTTCAGAATATTCTGATTTTATTCATTGATTTGTATTTCATTTTTATCCCAGTTTGACGTCTTTCTCAACTTTTTGACTTTTTCCTCGAGATTATATTTCAACTTAATTCTCGACATGTCAACTTTTCTTCTCGAGGTGCGTAATGAAAAAGAAAATTCCTTATTGACTTCTCAATGAAGAACACATGACACATATTTAATCATTCTTTTATTCTCTGCTTGCATCGTAAAGCAACACAGACCAAACCAAAACAATATCCATTCTAAATTAAATAATTAAACATAAAATATTTTCAACTAGAAACAATACAAAAAAACAATAATTTGACATTTCTTCCTCAGAAACTGTAATGCTGCATCTTTCAGCCTCTCTTCTGTTAGAGGTGGATACAAAGCTTTGTTTCCCTCTGTTGAAGCAAACTTTCATCTGCTGACAAAAAAGTATTTTGTTTGACTTTACGTATTTATTTATTGTTTATTTTACAGGGGCAATGCAAAATGTAATTTAAATTCACCAGTTTGCTAATAGTTTATTTGAATCTGTTGTCCCTGAGCAGGTAAACAAATAACATAACAGGAAGTACGTGACCTAAAATAACAGAATATGTTAAAAAAGTCCATTTGTGTAATATTACATACCGTGTTAATGAACTGTATTACTTTGACGGACAGATGCTGACTGCAAATCTAGATTCTGTAATCCTGATCTTGTGGTATCTGGATGAAAATGATCCTCTCTGAAAAGAAGTGGGCCCAGAGGGTTCTGCTGGGCTTCGATGCAGAATGATGTTTCTCAGGTGGTTTAACAAGAAATGTTTTTATTTGTGGGTTCATTGTTTGTCCCAAGATGTCTTCCTCAAACTTCTGCTCTGTCGCATCATAAAACCGGAAAATAACAAACAGGAAAAGAAGCATCATTTCCTTTTTTTATTACAGAAACTTGAACAATCGCATGTCGTTCAAGACGATCAAAAAAGTCACTTTTCTATCGTTTCATTGGCGGATTAAAATATGAACTCGTGATTATAAAGAGACAAAAAGTGAAAGCACGTTTTAGAATTTTAAAAGCATCACAGTTTGATTTTCTCTCTGCACAAACTGTCCTTCCTTTAAAAAACTATTTACAGCACACGGCGCCTCCACGCGCTCAGTCACTCGGGACGTCGGGGTGACATTTCCTCATGTGTAACTTGAGGCTGTACTTGATGACGAAGCTCCTGGAGCAGTGCGAGCAGGCGTACGGCCGCTCGCCCGTGTGAACGCTCATGTGCGACTTCAGGTGAGCCGACTGGGTGAACTTCTTGCCGCACTGCTCGCAGCTGAACGGCCTCTGGCCCGTGTGGATCCGCATGTGGACCGCGAGGTTCTGAGCCGTGGCGTAGGTCCCGTTGCAGACGGAGCAGACGAAGCGTTTTCCCCGGGGACCGGCGCCCGTCTGACCCGGCTGCTCCCTGTAGAGGGCGTAGTTCACCATGTCTGCACCGTCTTCGTACTCGAACGCAGAGTTGCTGCCCTCGGACAGCTGGCAGTCGGTGGAGGTCGAGCCGGAGACGCTGACCAGCTTCAGACCAAAAGCGTCGCCGTCCACGTTCTCGTTCTGGTGAAAAGGAGCAAAGGTCATGTGACTCTTTGACTGTTTGGTCCACGTGACGCTGAGGTCGAGCTCGGCCCTGTTGGTCGGAGAATGAGCCTCCATCAGGGAGCCGTTCCCGAAGTACGCCGTCGGTCTGTTAGCGCTCGGAGGGACCATCGAGCACTCCTGGAGGACCAGCTGGACGTCCGGGTCCATCTCTGACGAGAAGGAGCAGACCGTGTCGCCCGCCTCCATCTTGTCCCCGCCGAGCTGGACGGAGCAGCCGGGCTCGCTGCGAGGAGAGTCCAGGGAGTAGACGGACGCGCTCCTCTTCTGCGTCCCTGCGCTCGCGTGCGAGGTTTTCGGTGCGAGCTGATCGGAGGACAGCGTCCTGCCCGGCTCTTCGCTTCCCGGCCAGACTCTCTTCAAGCTCCGGCCGGCGGGAGAGGACGTGACGGCGTCTCTGTTTGCAGACATCCCTCCATCAGACGGTGTCCTGTAATCTGAAAGAAAAGAGAAAACACTTCAAGAAGCAGAAACTGGAAAGTCATGCTGGAGTCTGTTTGTTACAGAGACTTTAGAGATGTAAATGCATTGGAGGGAGTTCTTATATGGACTCACTCCCGCCCTTTGCACCTATATGAACCATGTAAAGTATATATTTACAGTTCAAAGGTCACATATTATTCTCCATGTTTCTCTAACTCTAACATGTGTCTCTAGTCCGTCTACTAAACAGACTTGTTCTGAGGACAGGGGCGGAGACATTTCAGAGGAAAGCAAGAAAAGTGAAGAGAACTATGACCGTCAGAAGTCCTCAACCAGAACTGCTCAATGATTGGCCAGCGAGCCGGTTTACACTCACCTTCCTCGAACGTTTCGCTGCTGTCAGAGTCTTCATCTTTGATCAGCACCACATCTGGAAGCTGGGGGAAAAAAAACAGATTCAATTAGAAGTAAAAACAGGCAGCAGGGTCTTTCCACTTCTGTCACATCCCAACACCATCAACAGCGACTTTACAGAACCATGAAGCCGCTGAGAGGTCGGCTCGTACCTCGTCTGACGCGTCTAACTTGTTGTAACGTGCATTAAGTCATGATCAGACATCAGTGGGCGGTCTCTCTCTCCCACTGGGATCAAAAGGTGAACAGGTGAGTTAAATCAATACAACGGGTCCCGCTCTCCACCTACGAGGGCTGCATGGTCAACTGAGAAAAACACAAACATGCCTCCTCATGTCTACAGGATGGTGCTTCACTCTGCAGTCAGAACAAGCTGCATTCAGTGTTTTAGTCAAGACCACACTGAGACCAAGAGAGACCGAGTCAAGATCCAGACACTTAGGTAAGTAAGGACCAAGACCAAGACCATAAACATCACTGTGAAACCCTCATCTTGTGTTTAGGGGGCGTGTCCCTCACTCAGACTGTAACACTGAGGGATAAAACTCAAAGGAAGAATAAATTGAAGTTGTTTGTTCTTTTAGAAAGAGTCGTTTTCCTTCTGATCTCAGCGATGACGTGAGAAAGAAGCCGATCAGTGGAGGTCTTGATTTGAGGTCCGGAGTCCGCCCAGTCTGAGACCGAGACAAGACCGAGTAAAAATGGTTTTGGTTCTGAGACGAGACCTTCAAGAAGTGAGACCGAAAAGACCGAACTGGAGCACACGAGCACGTTTTTAAAAATCGTTTGAATAATAAAATGTGTAAACCTGAACCATGGTTCCTGTTTGTTGTTTTTAATCATCTCTCTCTCTCTCCCTCTCTCTCTCTGTCTCTCTCTCTCTCCCTCTCTCTCTCTGTCTCTCTCTCTCTCTCTCATCTCTCTCTCCCTCTCTCTCTCTGTCTCTCTCTCTCTCTCTCTCATCTCTCTCTCTCTGTCTCTCCCTCGTTATCTCTCTCTCCCTCATCTCTCTCTCTCTCTCTCTCTCTCTCTCTCTCTCATCTCTCTCTCTCTCTCTCTCATCTCTCCCTCTCCCTCTCATCTCTCTCTCTCTGTCTCTCTCTCTCTCTCTCATCTCTCTCTCATCTCTCCCTCTCTCTCTCTCCCTCATCTCTCTCTGTCTCTCTCTCTCTCTGTCTCTCATCTCTCTCCCTCTCTCTCTCTCCCTCTCTCTCTCATCTCTCTCTCTCTGTCTCTCCCTCGTTATCTCTCTCTCTCTCTCTCTCTCTCTCTCTCTCTCTCTCTCTCTCTCTCTCTCTCTCTCTCTCTCTCTTCCCGCCTTCTGTGGTCCAAACAAATCCAGATCATTCAGGACCAGGATCTGAAGTCAGGAGGACGTAGTGGACACAGTGTCTATAGTGAATAATAATTAGTGGTCAGTCAGAAGCGAGCTGTTTGTTTACCTCCTCCCGCAGCGCTCCTGCCGCTCCTGCCGCTCCTGCCGCTCCTGCCGCGTCTCCCCCGGGAGCGGTAGGTGTTTCCGCCTCCTCGGTGGGAGCTCCCTCCGGTTCCGCCGTCTTCCCCCCGCTGCTCCCGCGGACCACTATGGACTCGATGAGGTGCAGCTTCTTCCTCAGGTCCTCGTTCTCCTTGTGGCTGCGGCTGATCTCCATCTGCAGCACCGCGTAGCCGTCCTCCACCAGCCCGCAGATCTCCAGCACCGCCGCTTTGGTCAACGCGCCCATGATGACGCCGAGCTGCTCGTGCAGAGCTCTGACGGTAAGAACGGACATCTCGACCCGACCGGACTCAAACCACCCCCCTTTAGGTCTGAGACGCTCGGTGTGCCGGTGAGCTTTCCGTTAAATAGCTCTGTGTGGACGTTAAAGCTGTCCGTCGGTGATTACAAAGGTGAGCAGGCCGTCTACTTCCTGTACATGCGTAGTTCCGGTTACACGGAGGACTTCAAAATAAGAGCCTGTTGTTTTTGCTGAGACGGTATTTTAAGAAAGAAAATAAAGTTTTTTTTATACAAATACATTGATAAAATAATTAATTATTATATATTATAGGGCCCCATTTTTACTGTGTTTTTTATTTTGTATTATTTTGTGAAAACTAGTGTTTTTCTTAAAAAATAATTATGTCTCTGGCATAGCACGTTTTTATCTTGTCGGAGCAAGTTATTACCATGTGGTCGTGTTGTGGTCAAGAGTTCTACAATCCTACAATTCACTTAGCAGACTCTTTTATCCAAAGCGACGTACATCAGAGAGGAAGAACAACACAAGCAAGGATCTAGAAAAAAGGGAACAATGTGAGTAAGAGCAAACGATCAGCTTTGAGTCTGATTGGACACACAGGTGCTGACAGGAAGTGACCAGAGGCAAAGCACAACATTGAGGGCAGTTCTTGAGAGCTCTAATCAGTATAGAAACCATCTTATAAGTCGTCGTCATCAAACAAAAACCATCGTCATTACCATCATCATCATCAATAATATGGAGACCATCATCATTAAGTTAGTAGGTATTCATGAAAGAGCTGGCTCTTTAGCTTTATCTTAAAGGTGCAGAGGGACTCTGCAGATCACATGGAGTTTGGAAGTTCATTCCACCACCGGGGGGCGACAGAGGAGAAGAGATACCTGAGGCCAGAGTGCTCCGAGACCGGGACATGACCAAGACCGTGGTGGGCGTGTCACTCACTTAGACCATAACACCGGATGCGGACGGAACAACGGCATAAAAATGTGACTACAAATGAATTGAAGTCATTTTTAAGAAAGATGTGGAAAAGTAACCTCAGTGGTGGTCTTGGTTCAAAATCCGGAGGCCGCCCAGTCTGAGACCGAGACAAAACCCGAGTAAAAATACTTTGGATTTTAAGATGAGACCATCAAAAAGTGGTCTGGAGACCAAGACCGGTTTTGAGTACTACAACATTACCACGTGGTAACAAGATAATCATCTTGTGCTAATGTAGCAGTGGTAATTATTCCACTTGCAATCAGTTGTTATCACTTGCTTTTCTAAGTGAAATAATGTTTCTGATGTATTATCACGAGCTTTCACATCATGCACAAAGAACAAACCAAAGGAAAACAACGTTCAGTTTTTTTAATTTCAGACACACGAAGCATTCACAAACTTCCCACAGCTGCTGACTCTCCTCATGAATCCTTTCTCACGTTCACCGACTGTCGGTGCTCGAGCAAATAAAATGAACAGACATGGGCGACAAGACAGCTGCCCAAAAGTGAAGCCAGAACATGTGGCGCTCCCCTTACTGGATGGCTGGTCGTATAGGTCGTAAGCTCCGCCTCCTCCATGTTAACAGATGGGACAAACTATAACGTCAAAACAAACGCTCGTTTTGGTCATTATAGTTATTTCTTATCACGCTGATTTAAGTCTGAGTGTTTATTTTAATAAAAGTTTATTTATTGTTTCAACGTATATAAAGGGGGTATAGCTTCATGATTGACAGCTCTGTTGACCAATGAGGCGCCTGCGTTGCTGTGTGCAGCTGATTCTCAGAGTAGAGGAGGAACGGTGAGAGGGAAACGTAACAAACACGAACACAAGAGTCGTTAAACTTTCCGTAAACCGTGAGTGTCTGCTTCAGACTGACTGAAGAATCTGTTCTGCCGTGAGCGACCTTTGACCTTCCTTCAATCAGGAAGTGTGTGTGTGTGTTTGAGTTAGAGCCGATAACGCAGCTCCACCAGCGGACCTCTCGGGGATGTTTGGCTTCATTTTTGGGAGTAGTGTCGTTCATACAGTCGGTGATCAACACTAACCCTGCATCTCAGTTCTCTTAAACGCTGTCTCCTCGCTCCTCGTCTCCTCGCTCCTCGTCTCCTCGCTCCTCGGCCCAACCAGAAGTAGTTCTCGACCCGCCATGATAAGGATCGTCCCAAAGCTCTTATAACTGAACGGAGGAGAGAGGAGGGAGATCTGAGGAGCGATGGCCGAGGATACACGAGAGCTGACTTTGCGGAAGTCTTTTTACTGACAGACACGCCCCCTTATCGAATTTCACTCACTGATTGGACGCTGCAGCGGATCAGACTTCAGTGAAACTTCTCAACATCAGCGGAGTTTAATAACGGAGACAAAACAGACAATAAAAAGACGCTTAACGGAGCGTCGGACATTTAAACAGATTCTAAACGTGTCAGTTTGTAATAAAATCAATACCTAAGAGAGTGTAGGCCGATCACTCCCGACATCTGATTTGTTGTTGATTAACTGTCAAACAAAAAGTCTGTTAATATGAAGTGTTCAAATAAAAAGATCATAAATGATTTCTTCATAAGTTTTCTTTTCATGATCACTCAGACTGTTTGCCCTTTTTCATTTATGATGACGTGAATGAACGGCTGACAGAGGGAGTCTGTCAGTTTTACATTCATCATTATTTACGTTTGTAAAGTTTCATATAAGACTGATCATTAATGATCTTCTGTTTGGAAAATGTCACTTTTTTTTCCTCTGTTATTTAGAACTTGTAAATAATTGTCAGTATTCCTGAGACGTAAGTATCTGTGTTTATAAAATACAGAGTTCATTGTCGAATTAGAAGTCAAAACAAATACAAATAATAAATAGACAATTTAATATTAAATATTTTTGTCAGTAGAAATCGTCCTTTTGGTTTGAAGCAGACTGCAGGTTGTTCTTCAGGTGTTTGTTTTCAGGTAAAGTACACAGATTAAACACAGCTGTGTGAGTCGACTGACAGCTGAACGTGATCAGCTGATGTCGTCATTACAAACGGACGTCGCTTCACGTGACGCTACAGAGGAAAGGACGTCTCCTGTCTCTTAAAACATATCTCCTCATTTCCTCTCTCCTCTGCTTCGTTTCCTTGCATCTCTGGTGGGAGGGGCTAAGACGCAAGTGGAGGAGGCAAATTGGAGGACACTTGGATGCAATTAAGGGAACTGGGATGCACCCTAAAGCTCGGAGGTGGACCCAAAATGGCCCACGCTCTTTTTGAGGTAAGGATTCATCAGGAAAGTGTAGTTTCATTTTGTGTCCACAGCAGGTCAAAAGGTCAAAAGGTCAAAAGGTCAAACGCATACAAGGCCTGACAAAGTGAAACCAGTCATACTGTTAGGAAAAGCATCAATTCATCCAAACAACTCAATAAATACAAAGGAAGTCCAGAGAGAGCAGTACGGTTCTGGTCCATCAGAGTTTAAGTCGGGTTAGCGCTCTCGTCTAAGCGTTCAGCGCTGACAGTGTCTGAGTCACTTCCTGTTGAGCTAAACAGGAAGCTCCCCCTGGTGGTGTTTCTGCTGATGGATCCTCAGGTTCTGCTTCCCGGCAAATCGTTTCCCACAGAGCTCGCAGGCGAACGGCCGCTCCCCCGTGTGGACGCTCTGATGCGTCTTCAGGTGTCCCGACTGCGTGAAGCGCTTCCCGCACTGAGCGCAGCTGTACGGCCGCTCGCCCGTGTGGACGCGAACGTGCGTCTCCAGGCTCCGCGACGACGTGAAGAATTTCCCGCAGTAGCTGCAGACGAAGCGCCGGTCTCTGCAGAACCTGTTCAAGTCTAGAGGGTCCAGTCTGGATCCGCCGAGACCGAGCACCATGGGGAAAGCTGCGGCGTTCAGGTCCGGCACCTTGTCATGGAGCGTGGGCCTATGAGGGACAGGCATCATGCTGGGCAGGCTTTGACTGGTCCAGGAGGAGCACAGGTCCAGCTCCATGTCGTAGTTGATCAGAGACGCTCCCCGACTCAGCTCGGACATCCCCGGCAGGGAGGCGGGACTTCCCCCCGCTCCAGGGAAGAACTGCCTCCTCGACTGGGCTGTGGGCGGAGCTTCACAGTCAGACTCTGAGGCCAAGTCTAACACGACCCCTGAGGAGCTGCTCTCAGCGCCCCCTGCAGGACCTGGAGACCCCGGTGCACTGTTGGATTCTGTCAGCCTGTCACTGTTCAGATCCCACGGCCTCGTTTCTGCGACTGAGATCATCCTCCCTGAGGCGCCTTCTTCACCGCCGTCTGATCCCATCAGCTGCCCCTCGGCTCCTTTAGACAAACAAATATAAACAAACAACACAAAGCTGTGACTTCACGACACAAAGATTCAAGTGAGACAAACACCTAAATACTGTTAAAGGTCACCATGTTCCTCTAACTCTATGTGTCTCTAGTCTGTCTACAAACCCCCCAATGATGAGAAAAGTCCATCCTCTCCGTCTTCTCCCTGCTCCACTTTTCAGAAAATGTGTGCTCAAACAGGCCGTTTGGAGATTTTCCCTTCATGACATCACAAAGGGCAGTAGCCCCTCCCCCAGGTGGGTGACACTCTCACAGCTAGGTGTTTGTTCTGCCCTCTGAGTCTGCCTTCTCACCGTAAACAATAGGACATGGAGCGAGAAAGCCCATGACACCCAAGCCCTTCCAGAGAGGGGGCGTGGTCAGACACAGCTCATTTACATATTTAAAGGTACAGACACAGAAACAGCCTGTTCTGAGCAGGGCTGAAATAGAGAGGTTTATAGACATGATCAAATACAGGATCAGAGTGGATTTAGAACAAGAAACTTCACACATGTTTTGAGGAGCTCTGACACTTATTTACACTGAAGAAGAGGAGGAGGAAGATATGTGACCTATTTTCAAACCAGACCGTGTTGAATCCTGCATTACAGTCTAATCTCACGATATACGAGACGTGTCTTATTAACGTTCTAAAATTGCGTTTGTCAGACAGTCCAGCGTTGTATCTGGAGATATGTTCACGACAACCAATCAGGGCGTCTCCTCTCTTACCGTCGTCTGTGAGAAGCAGCTCGTCTGTGTCGTCGTCGCTCACCTCCTCTTTCGTCGTCTCTTCCTTTATCAAAATGACGTCCTGATCTCTCGGCTCCTCTGCAGGAGCCGCTGCAGAAGAATCCTGGAATAAAAACAATACTGATTCAGACACTTTTTCTTTCTCTTCGTATCGTTTTAAAAGTGGAGGCTCTGGTGCTTTTATGACCAGAGCCCCCTGCCTGAGGAGAAGAGTCTACAGAATCACTTTATGGACCTGCTTTTATCTCATGCAGTCTCTCTTTATTGCCTTCTATCGTCTTTTCAACTTGGATTATATTTCTTATTATTCCTTTCATTTTACTACTTTCATTATTTATTTTTTACTGCTATGACTTATTTATTTCTTTTCATTCTTTCTTTTTATTGCTCTTATTTCACCCTCTTTCATTTATTGGCCTCGTTATTGCTTTTCCTTCTCTATTTCCAAAGAGATTTGGATAAAGGGAGGGAGTTTAAGTCCTGCTACGAACCCAAATCTGAACATTTGGTGTGGTTGCTGGTGAGGTGCTAGCCAACCCTGAAACTGCTCTGGGGCACCAGTCCCTGCTAGGGCTGTCAATTCTTATTTTAAAATCGAACATTCATTTGAACCTGGAGGACAATGTTCCTGTTGCACGCACTCTTTACTTTTGTTTTTTGAAAGGTTTTTTTGGGGGATTCAGAATCTATTTTCGATTCAAAACAATTCTGGATTCATGATTCAAAGTCTATTTTTGAATGAGTACATACTTCAGGATCTACTCCAATCATCAGTGAGACTGGCTGAATTTATTGCTGCTCTATTTTTCATTCTCCTGAGTTAAAGAGCTAGCTTTAGCACTTAGCAGGGAGTGACTGATCAGCAAAAAAAGTTGGAAGTTATGAATCTATTTAAAATCTCAGTAGATAAGAATCTTGATTTTCATATAAATCGATTTTTTTTCCAACCTCTAGTGTACGGCATGTCTCACAATGACAAAGTGAAAAGTTGTGATATTCCTCAGCATCATTAAACCAAATAATATACAACATTGAAAAGACAGTGAGTCGTACACGCCACCAGATGTCACTGTGTCCCCAAAGCTTCAGGAGGCCTTTTCCTCCTCGATAAGGAACTGTCCTTTTTACCATCAAGATGTATCAAGATAATCAGATATACACAGGAGAGCTAAAGGTTAACTTTCTGAAGATACAGAATTTAGATACTGAACTTTACGATTTATGCATTTTCACTTCTTCAATCCAAATGTCCTTAAACATGAATTACATAAAGCATATAATTCGGCTTTAATTCAATCATGATTTAACATTTACAGGCTCAAACTAACTGCTCAAAAAGTCATGTGTCAACCTTAAAGGGGACATATTATGAAGAATTCACTTCTTCAGTGTTTTTGAACATATATCTGTTTAACCTGAGAGTCTACTGACCCACAACATGTGAAATAAACCCATCCAGTCCTTTGTTTGTGGTCTGCATAAGTCTTACAACACAGAGAAAAATGCTCCGTTTCAAATGTGCTCCCCTTGTGATGTCACAGTGGGATTCTGGTAAAATAAAATCCCCTCCCCTCCCCTGGTATCTCCACCCATAGACTCCACCCCCAGCCTAGAACAAAACTGTTGCGCAGGCCCGCCATTTTTATTCTCTCTACAGAGGAGTGATGTCTACGGGGAAAACTCGGGGGGGGCATTACATTTAAAGAGACACACACACCAAAACGCAGCGTTCTGAGAGAGCTGGTTTATACAGGGTCACAAACCTCCTCTGGTGTTTGATTCATGTTATATTTTGACCAAAGCACAGCACAGATGTTTCATTTAGACCACAGGGGGACAGTTTGAAAAGGTGGAGGAGGGGGATCATATGTCCTCTTTAAAGGCTTAAAAACAATGAGCTGAAAATGAAATGCTACTCGTTTAGCACGTCCTCTCACCTCTTTGCAGGTTGCAGGACTCAGCTCTATCGTCGCCTCCGACACGGGGGCCCGTCCGCTTCTTTTGATATTTGCTATCGGCAGTCTGGACACCACTCCAGCTGTTAGGGCATAATCTGAGAGGAAAACAAAAAGACACGCTTACAACACTGGTTCCTGTAGTGGGGGAAAAGGAGGCTAAACAAGAGTCTTTGAACGGTTCTTGGTGGGTTTCAGTGTAAAAAAGCAGACTGCTTCAAACCCAGGTTACCACATGTTTTAAAACCATACAATGTCTGTTATTTTAGTGCTCATGATCAATATCTCAAAAAGCACCAGCACGTTTTGAAACTACATCTGTTTCATAACGCAGGTGTGTAGGAGAGGAAAGATTTACGAGATTAAACTCGTAAATTTACGACTTCAATCTCATAAATTAACGAGTTTGAGACCAGCCTGCGCAAAATGATTAAAGTAGAACTCTTAAAGTATTTCCCTCTGCAGACAGCTTCCTCCCAGTCAGTGTGGTTCTTTTATGGCTATGTGAAGATGATTTGTAATTTGTAATTTGTAATTTATTTCAAGGATAGCCCCTTGAGATGCATCATCTCATTTTCAAGGGGGTCCTTTTTAGCTTTAGCACTTAGCAGGGAGATGATGATGTGCCAAAAGCATGTGTAGTTTCATATCTGCATTATGGAGGACGAGATCTGACAGAAGTATAAATAAATAAATGAATAAATAAATAATTAAACATGTGAATAAATAAATAAAAACTGGTAAATTAATGGGACATAAATAATTAAATGTCTTAAATGTATTTCTGCATTTATTTATAGAAATATTTCAGTAGAAATTAGTAAATGTGGAAATAAATAAATGTATAAATAAATAAATATGGAAATAAATGTAGATATAAATAAATATGGAAATAAATAAATGTAGAAATGAATAAATGTGGGAATAAATAAATGTAGAAATACATTTAAGACATTTAATTATTTACATCCCTTTAATTTACCAGTTTTTATTGATTCATTCATGCATTTAATTATTTATTCATTATTTTATTTATTTATTCCAGTATTTATTTATACATTTATTTATTCATTCACTCTTTTATTTATTCCAGTATTTATTTATACATGTATTTATTTATTCATTTATACTTCTGTCAGATCTCGTCCTCCATACTGCATAAGGAAAGCCCCAACACAACTATTTGTGTCTGTTATCGGTCTGCCTTGTTAAAGTGTCTCACAGACAGTTTGTGTCCTGTTCCTCATTTTACAGACAAACAAGGTCTCGCAAGTTGAAGTGAAAACTTCTCTTAAACTATTTTTACCGACTACACAAGGAAGTATCCTACTTCCTTATTAGTGAAACCTTTAGGACAAAATGCTCCAACAGGATGCTGCTGCTCTTCTGATATAGAATAAAATAACCACTTTATTCTTTTATTCTTTAAAGAGTTCGACTTTCATCATTTGTGCGCAGGCTGGTCTCGAACTCGTTAATTTATGAGTACATTTACGACTTTAATCTCGAAGTGTATTTATTATTTTATTTACCGTGGCCCTAATCCTCCGCCGTACATAAAGAAGGTTAAAGCAGCCAAAGCGTCTCCACTTTACATCCATCATGAAATGTACAGAACTTTTGCTAATGACGGACTAAAACTCAGGTTTTATTGAAGTTCCAGAAACTCACCTTTACTGAACTCCATCAGCCCCCCGCCGGTGGTCGCGTCCCCCCGGTGTCCCCGAGAGATGATGGTCTCGATCAGCCCCAGCTTCCTCCTCAGCGCGTCGTTCTCCTCTCGGTTCCGGCTGATCTCCAGCTGCAGGACGGCGTAGCCCTCCTCCACCAGCTCGCAGATCTCCGCCACGGCCGCTTTGGCAAGCGCCTCCATGATGGACGTGAGCTGGGAGTGAAACCCCCCGTAACTCGTCATTTTCAAGTCGGGCTGAATGGAAAGTGAATTAAATCCACATCGACCAACACGGTGCGTTCAGAGACACAGATTAACGTCGGATTAAAGAAGCATTCTTTAGCCAGTGTGGCGGGTTAGTGACTGGGACACACGGAGGGATGCTGAGGTTTCTGGTTGTTGCTTGTTGTCTTCTCCTCCTCGGCGTGTCGTTAAGCAACTTCCGTAATACCACTTTCAAAATAAAATCCCAGCCTGAAAAAACCGTGCTGCAACTATGGAAGCCCATTTCTGCCAATTAAAAAACAAAAACGAAAATTTGTCTAAATTATAAGATACAAAAATCGACATTACAAGATAATTGTGACTCTTTATCTAAAACGTCCACTTTTTATGTCATAATTTCTCATAATTATGACTTTTATCTCATAATTTCAACGTAATATGGGCAAAAAAAACATTTCTCAACAAAGCCAAGTTTTCAGTTTTATTTTTTTAACTGGCGGAACTGGGCTGCCATAGATGCATCCGAGTACGCTTTGTAAATTCAGCAACTGCTCACCCGAAAAGAGTTTTTTAGAGATAAAAAAAGATGATTTTTTAAGTTATTTTTTAATTATTGTAACTTTAAGTGATCCTTTGTTATAATGCTCCACATTTTCGTTCAATTTAACTACATGACGTCTGAAACAAAATAAAGTGTACTTGTGACACACCGAAATGTGTTGTCACATTTTGTTATTGTATTTGGTTATTTTGTATGAATATTATACAAACGTATCTGTGTTTTGGTTAAAGTTATTTTGAAGTTGTTCCTGTATATGCTACAAGGGGGCAGCACCTCCCCTGCTGAGCGGGCTGTTTATTGTCTTTGCTGTGCTCTGCTTCAGTCTGGCAGAAGCATGAACAGGCGAAGGACAAAGTGCATGATAGAGCTTGTGGGCTTGATTAGTGACGTTGATAAAAAACAGTCATCTGCATTACTCTGCAGATGGAATATGACTCTGACAACCGCCCATGTGGAGGACCTGTATCTTAGATCTAGACAGTCTCATTACGAACACGGGGAACGGGCCAGTAAACTACTTTCCCATCACCTAAGGCAGTCGGCAGCAGACAGTCTAATAACGGAAATCACGACAACAACTGGGGACACTACGACTGACCAGGGGGATATAAATGATCAGTTTAGGAACTTTTATGAGACACTTTACTCCTCTGAGGTCGCTGATGGCTCCTCTGTTACAAACTTTTTCAACGATCTTGAGCTTCCCACACTAGGCCCAGACGAGGCTGCGGCCCTGGAGGGGGATATATCTAACAGGGAACTAGAGTGTGCGATTAAGGCTATGAAGAGTGGAAAGGCCCCTAGGCCTGACGGACTGCCGATCGAATTTTATAAAAGATTCTCTAGCAAAATAGTGCCAGTACTTCAGGGGGTATACGCAGAGGCCTTTCGCCAGGGGTCACTGATGTCACAGTGTGGCTGATCTCTATAGTAAGGGGGTATTCCTATTTTTTGATAATCTGGTTAGAGAATATGGCATACCAAGGACACACTACTTCAGGTACTTGCAAGTGCGAGACTTTACCCGGAAACATGTCCTCTCCTTCCTGACTGCTCCGTTAAGGAGGTGGTTGGAAGATTGTCTTAGCCTCGACCCCTATCGGGGGGGATGTGTCTCTAGGTTGTATAATATAGTCCAGAACATCTCTAGTCCATCTCTTTATCACCTTAAAGACTCTTGGGAGAAGGAATTGGAGATGAAACTGTCTGACGAGACCTGGCAGTCCGCTATTGAGAGAATACATAAATCCTGCCTATGTGTAAGAAATGGTGTACTCCAATTTAAGGTTTAGATTACATCTCTGCAGAAGCAGGCTTGCAAGGCTATACCCTGGTACCGATCCCACCTGTCAGAGGTGTCATGCACCCTTTCTCACGTTTTTCTCCTGCCGGTCGATTGCCCCATTCTGGACCTCCGTGCTTGAGACTCTCTCTTTTATGTACTCACGCAATATACAACCTAACCCTGTAACTGCTATATTTGGCCTGGCTCCAGAGGGGTTGTCCCTTTTGAGTTGTCAATCGAGCTCTCTTGCCTTTGGCTCTCTTCTGGCTCGCCGACTTACTCTTCTTAAGAGGAAGGACCGAGCTCCGGCCTCACATGCTCGGTGGGTCAGAGATGTAAAGGCACATTTAAAACTAGAGGAGCTAAGATACCGCAGCCAGGGCTCTGCAAAATGAAACATGGCAGCCCTTCCTGGATTACTTTAACAATCTGCCGAGCGCAAATGTGACTGACTGAGACCCTCATGACCCCCAAAAATCAATAAAAGACAGTTGAAATATAAACACAGGTAGGTGAAGATAGCGGTTCAGCAATAAAAACAAATGCAGCAGCTTACAGCAGATAATAAACAGAATGTGAAGTTCAGTCAACAATGATACACAATTATCAGTTGTTATAAAATAAACCTTCCTAAACTATTCTGTGCCCAGACTAAAGTCTTACTTGGAATCACTTTTCTGAAGACTGTTGCAAGGTTCGGTTGGTCTCCAATCTGTTGAATCTTAAAATCAACAGATCCAGCCACATTTCCGTGGCAGAAGAAAAGAGAGACAGCAGCAGGAGTCAGATTTGAGACAAGAGCAATGCACTGTTGTCTTTCTGGTTTGCAGGAGCAGATTTTCCTTGGTGTTTTCTTCTTCAGGTAACAGTGGGCTGTCTGTAGCGCTCCTGTCCAGTTGCGTTCAATGACCTAGAAGAAAATAAAGAAAGAAAACGCTGTGCTCGACCACTAGTTACTGATTGCACCAAAACTCTTAAAAATATGCCATTGGAGTAGTTAGCTGAAACCTCTGATGCTTGAATTAAGCACGTAAGCAAGGAGGAGGGGGTTTGCCTCCTCGAATGCTGGGGGTTCAGCATGTGAGAGAGGTCGAAAAATGAGAGACGACTGCTCGACCCTTCACTTAACACCTGCATGTGTTACGTGCTGCAGAGCATGCTGGGAGTGTTTTTTTCAGAGCAGGGCATGCTGTGAGTAAGAGTCATTTAAAGTACTCCTACTCAGGCTTCTATATCGGCTACAGGCCGGACCTTTGTTTCAACACATGGAGATCCAAAACATTGAGCATAATGAGAATGACAGCCTGACAAAGCCGGAGTCGTCTGTCAGTCAGAAACACGTTTTACATTCTTAATGATCGTTAATGATTGTACGGTTTGAAAATGTTATGTATAGTTCAGCTTTCAACACCATAGTCCCCACCAACCTCCATTCCAAGCTGATCAACCTCGGACTTAACACCTCCTTGTGTGCTTGGATCCTGGACTTCCTGACGAACAGAGCCCAGGTGGTCAAAGTGGGCAGACACACCTCCAGCCCCTGCACCTTCAACACTGGAGCACCACAGGGCTGTGTCCTTAGCACCCTGCTCTTCACCCTGTACACACATGACTGTGTGGCCACAAGCAGCTCCAACATCATTATGAAATTTGCAGATGACACGGTGGTTGTTGGTCGCATCAGCAACAATGATGAGCAGACGTATACAGGGGAGGTTGGAAACCTGTCACAGTGGTGCCAGGACAACAACCTGCTCCTGAACGTCAGCAAAACCAAGGAGCTGATTGTGGACTTCAGGAGAGGACAGCAGAGGGATTACACCCCACTAAGAATTGATGGGATGCTGGTAGACAGGGTGTGCAGCTTCAAGTACCTAGGGGTGCACACCTCTGAGGATTTAACATGGACAACCCACATAGACAGTCAGGTAAGGAGGGCGAGGCAGCGTCTCTATCACCGCCCCTACTCTCCTGTTACCCTGACAAAAGTTACTGTGGGAGGCAAGGATGAAGTTTAAGCCTTCAGTCTTCATGGTCTCCCCTGAAAAATACACACATACATCTCTTTGAATTCTTTGAAGAGCTCTGATGGACAACAAACGTCTGCTGTTCTTGACTTGCAGCAGTGAATGAGGTTTTTCAGTTCCAGTTATTCACACTATGCTGTTTATTTATGAAGGAGAGGGAGCACAGAGTTATCTCGATGGATCAAAGTTCACTGCGGGGTAAGAGATTTCAGTCCTTTAGAGAGGTAATATACAGGGCGTGTTACCTGTGACTTACAGCATGCAGTAAAAGTATTTGGACGTAAAGAGAGGACACTTTGCTCTCAACAATTACACATTAAACATTATTCATACTTTCATACAGTAAAGCATGAAGAAAAAAAAGCAGTCAGTGCTTCCTTTTTTTAAAATCCATTGTTCAGTTTTTAATATTTTATTTTCTTGCCTACAGATCCTCAAGGCTTGTTGAAGAACCTTTTTATTGTTTAACCTTTGCCCATTGTTCGGTCTAAAAAAGTACCATGTCATTACAGTATACAGCTTTAAATATAATATAACCACATTTCTTCACAGATATGGATAACAATAAAGGACTCATACCATATTATATACCTTTCATTGAGATAAATCATCCACCACTCGTCTTCCAAATGTTGACCATGAATGTTCCCGTATTCCAAAGTTCATGTCTCTGGGACACGAGACAGCATTCAGCTCTATGCTCATACATTAGTATTTGAATTGTTTGTAACTCACCTCTTTATGATCATTTTCTTCACTTTTCTTTAGATTTTGTGGTTGATTAGTAGGACTGGGTTGAACAATCCCTGAGGTTCATGTTCTGCAGTTGTCATGGGTGGGGTTGTCCAGTTATGACCCATACGTTAGGCGATGGTGTTACTTTTACTACAGATGTTCACTCGATGTGTTTGGCATTTCATCTTCACCCTCTTTGTTTCATATTCATATGTTTCCAGGCAGCATTATGGTTTGCTTCCCTTTTAATCAGAACACACCAGCACTGAGCTTCTAACACGGACATACCTCTGACTCTTGGTATCCTAACAAAGCTGGACTGTTACTTAGCTGACATCTAACCTACTCTGCAATGGACTTGTGAGAGGTTCTTCTTAGAATGACCATCAGGAAGATGTCCCAACACATCTTCAGTTTTGTGCCTCAAAGTCACTGAACATTTGGCCTTTGATCACAAAACACCCATAGCCGTGGCTGGAAACTTTCAAGCTGGTCAGACCTTGGTGTTTGGTGTGTACAGTGTGTCCATGGAGGGGAGGTGGGAGCCAATAACTCTCTCTGCAGTCTTATGACCTGTTGAAGTGAGTTCCTCTCAGCCAGTCAGGTAGTTCCTGGACCAAACGGTGATTCCACTGGTGAGGATGCTTTCAACGAGTCCTCTCTAGGCCTGGGTGAGGGGCTGACATTTGAGCCCGGGTCTCCTTCAGCAGACTGATGAAGTAAAACCGCTGCTGTGCTTTCTTCACTGTTTTAGCAGTGTTTTGAGCCCAGCTCAGGTCTTACCAAGGAATTTGTAGCTGTCAGCCCACTCCACCACAACCCTGATGGTGAGAGGCTGCAGAGGGGGGGGGCTTTCCCTCCTGAAGTCCAGAATGAACTCCTTTGTTTTGTCTATGTTGAGAACAAGGTCGTTGTCCTCTCCATAGACAGTGACTTTGTGGACCAGTTCCCTGTAAGAGGACTCATCCCTCCCTCTGATGAGGCCATGGATGGTCGTGTCGTCTGCATATTTAATGATGATGCTGTTATTGTACAGGGGGGAGACACATTCATATGTATACAGCGATAAGAGTTTTGGGCTGAGGCAGCAGCCCTGGGAGGTTCCTGTGCTGACTGTGAGCTCAGCAGAGACCTTTTTTCCCATCCTGACCACCTGTGGTCTGTCTATGAGGAAGTCCAGGATCCAGTTGCAGGTGGGTGTCGGTACTCCAAAGTCTGCCAGCTTCCCAGTCCGCTTCATTGGCGTAAAGGTGTTAAAGGCAGAGCTGTAATCTAAACAGAGCAGGCGTGCGAATGTGTTATTGGTGTCCAGGTGTTCCAGTGTGGAGTGGAGTGCCAGGGCCACCGCGTCGTCAACTGATCTGTTGGTGCGGTAGGCAAACTGTTGGGGGTCTACGGTGTCTGGAACCACAGAGTTTATGGAATGTAATAGAGAATTGTCAATAACCCTTAGACATCCTTAGTGTCTATAAATTACAGAGTTCACTGTCAGATTATAAATCATTTAATATTAAAGCTTTGTGCCTTTAGAAATGGTCTGTATGTGTTTTTGTATGTTTAAAAACTGGAGCAAGAACAGTTTCTTACCCCAGGCTGTCACTCTGATGAACGCTAAACAGTCAGAGGGTCAGACCTGTCACTGAGAAATAACTCGAAAACCAAACTGTCACTGTGAATGTACATATATACACACATATAAAGGCAAAGCAGCTGTCAGGCACTCATCTATAATGAGAACATGGTAAACTGTCACAGCCCTGCTCTGCCTCTCAGTACTTTTTCATTCAGACTGTCTCTCTCTCACTCGACCTGTCAGCCACACCCACCTCATCAGCTCACCTGCTCTCTCAGCTGCAGTAATCAAGCCACTACATAAGCCACTGCTCCACACTCACTCATTGCCAGATCGTCATCGCATTCATGAATCCAGAGTTTTCCTTTTGGACTGAGCTCCCGGTACCGTCTCTGCCTGCCTTGGACACGCCCTCTCCGTCAAATCCCCGGTTATGACCTCAGCGTTCTGTCCCCAACTACGAGTTTTGTATGGAGTCAGATCTGTCTCAATATTCATGAATGCACACTGAAGTATTCACAAATGTATTTTGCAAATTTATATATAAATTACTCTATCCACAAAAATATTCTCCAATGCACACACAAATATTTATCATTTTACATAAATGTTAAAAAAAAATCTACAAATTAAAAAATAAGATTCACAAATGTAATTATGATTCACACAAATATTTATAGTTTTTTATATTTGTAATAGAAATCCACAAATATATGATATACATATATTTTTAAAAACACAAAGTCTGTTCAATGATTTCTCTTCATCCACACAATCAGTTTGTTTCAGCACAACCTCTTTATATCTCAGAAAAGAATCCATCATGTCCTCAATATTAAGATCATCACAGTGTTCAAATACCTCTCTGTACTTCATTATATTGACAACATTCGGTCTGACTAACTAATCACAGTCAATCTGATCAGAGGTTTCATTACACAAAGTTTAGCAACAACATATATCTCATAAAGAAAAGAAGTAGTTTGGATTGTTTTAACTATTTTACCCTGAAATACACAAAGTTTAATTCCAACTACAACGAAATGACAACAAGGGATCCATCAAAAAAAATAAAAACAGTGTTCAGGTGAACACATGTCATCATGAGCAGAGATAGCCTCCATGGCTAAACAGACACAGGAAAGAGCACCACCTTGAAAAAAACAACTCAAAGCATGATGAGAGATTTCAACATCAAAGTACCGCCCCTAATGTTTGATTGACAGGTGATCTGTGTGCAGTGAGGGACAACGATGCGCTCTCAGATACAAACATGAAGACTAAATACGTTTAAGAGATTAAACACAGACTTGAAGCCTCTGTCCCTGAAATGACTTCTGTCTATTTCAGTTTACACAACTCAGCTGTGGATCCAGAGGAATAAAACCCAAGTCCTGCATGTAGAGGCTGAGTGAATGTGGTCTGGACTCTGTAGAGGAGAGTCCTGGTTTTAGAGATGCTGTAGAAGGACAGAATACCTGCTCTGTGATCCAGGTACACTCCTACTCTGGAGGACTGAGGACCTGAGACAGGAGTCCTGACTTTGTTGTGCCAAAAGTTGTAACTGGTGTTGTCACAAAATAACATCCAAGATTTGTCATTGAATCCAAACAAACATTTATCTGAGCTCCCTGCTCTGCTGATATTCTTGTATGCGACTGCTACAAAAACTCTTCCTCCTCTCCACTCCACCTCCCAGTAACAACGTCTAGTCAGACTCTCTTTACTCAGGACCTGAAAACATCCAGAAAATCTGTCTGGGTGACTAGAATAAGACTGTTGTTCACTCATTAATGTTAGTCTTCTGTTCCAATCAGATAATACCAGATATGTGTTTGCTGTGTTTGGATCCAGTGTGATGTCACGTGAATATTTGAAGAGCTCAGCTCTGGTCATTTGTTCTGGTTCTGACAGTAAAACATCCACTTCAGTCACTGTCTGTGAGATGTTTGTCCAATTCTCTCTTAGGACGTCCTGTAGTTTATCTCTGACTGCTGACACAGCTGCTGTCACATCCTCAAAGTACCTCAGAGGACGGATCTTGATACTGGATGAGTGTGTAGATTTACTGAGTGGCGACAGTGAGGGGTAGTTGTGTAGAAACTGGTTGTGATCTTCTGTGTGTGAAGCTTCTTCATCTCAGCGTCTTTCCTCTTCAGCTCAGTGATCTCCTGCTCCAGCTTCTCCTGAAGCTCTCTGACTCGACTCACTTCAGTTTGCTGCTGGGATCTGACCTGCTGCTTCACATCAGAGCGTCTTTTCTCCATGAGACGGATCAGCTCAGTGAACATCTTCTCACTGTTCCCCACTGTTTTATCAGCGGAGCCATTGATAGCCTCCACCTTCTGTTGAAGCAGCTTCACATCTTTCTCTCTGTCCTGGATTCTCTGCTGGATGTTTTGTTGACTCACCTCGAGCTCTCTCTGCCTCTCGCTCCTTTCTGCTGCAGCTGAGACTGTGTCGTGACCTTTATGTTTGTTCATTAAACAGAGATAACAGATAGACTGCTGATCAGTACGGCAGAATATCTTCATCACCTCATCATGATGAGAGCAGACGTTCTCCTGGAGCTTCTTGGAGGGCTCCACCAGCTTATGTTTCTTTAATGGATCTGCTTCAAAATGAGGCTGGAGGTGTTTCTCACAGTAAGAGGCCAGACACTGCAGACAGGACTTACAGGCTTTCAGTTTCCTCCCGGTGCAGACATCACAGGCCACATCTTCAGATCCAGCATAGCAGTGATCAGCAGGAGCAGCTTGGAGTTCAGTCTTCTTCAGCTCCTCCACTAAATCTGCTAACATGGTGTTTTTCCTCAGGACAGGCCTCGGTATGAAGTCCTGTCTGCACTGAGGGCAGCTGTAGACTCTCTTCTCATCCTCTGTATCCCAGTGGCTTTTAATACACTTCATGCAGTAGCTGTGTCCACAGGAAGCAGTCACAGGATCCTTCAGTAGATCCAGACAGATGGTACAGCAGATTGTCTCTCGGTCCAGTTGGTTTCCTCGCTGAGCCATTTCTTTTAAATCCCTTCTTAAAACATACTTTTACAGACTTGCTTTTATGTGATGTCGTCTTCTTAATGTCTTCTCTTACTGGTTTTACTATTTTTATCTTCTTCTACTTTTACTGTCTTTTATTTATGGTCTTATCTCGTATTTATGCTCATATCTTAATCTCCTCTTGTGTTTTAACTTGGTAATTTCTTATCTTACTTACTTTGTCTATTTATGTTTCGTATTTATAGTTAATTTTTATTTTTATTAATATTATAGTTTTGGGTTTTTTGATCCTTTAACCACTTGTTTTTATTTCCTTTACTGCGCTTACCTTCTCATTGCTTTTTATTTGCTTTTATCTCTTAGTTTCTTACATCTTTTTAAATCTTTGGTCCTCTTGGTCTCAGCTCATGTTGTTGGGTTCTTGTGTTCCTGGGTTCTTATGATGGTTCTTATGATGGTTGGGTTATATATGTCTGGTTGGGTATCGTGCACTTTGGGTTCTTTTCTGTTGAATTGTTTTTAATTATTTTTGGTATTTTGCATCTGTTATATTCTTACTGTTGTTAATGTTTTTCTGTGTTTAGTTTGCTTTGTTCTTGCTGTTTGTCAAAGCACTTTGTAAACCTGTGTTTTTAAAAGGTGCTATATAAATAAAGTTATTATTATTATTATTATTATTATTTCTCCTCTCAGTGATGGTGACGGTCAAACAGTTCCTTTTTCACTGGATAGAAACACAGTCAGAGCTCTGATAGACAACAACATGCAGTGAATGAGGTTTTCCAGCTCCAGTTATTCACAGTATATAGTTCATGCCCATCCTCATACTTGAAGACTTATGACGGGGAGGGAAGAGAGGAATGTTTTCCCCAGGTGTAGTTCAGGTTTGACTGCGTTCCTCAAAGAGCAGCTTTGTACAAGAGACAGGGTGTGTCTCATAAACAACAAAGAGTAATAATAGTTGGACTTGAGCGAGCACACTGTTTGCTGTTTGATTCATTTATCAAGACAAATGATGATTATAAAAACATTATAAAAAAAGGAAAACAGAGAAATACATAAACAGAGGGTTTCCATGACAGCCCTCACATAAGTGGGCAGAGTTTAAAGCATTTGACCAATCACAGACTTTGACAGGGCTTCTGACAGCAGAGCGGCATTTTTACCAACTCAGAGCAAACTTAAATATTGACTAATAATAAAAGTTTAACATCTTATCCTGGATTACAAAACAATGCATCAACAAGGGACCGGTGGCTTGTGGTTACCCTGGAGACAGCTGAGGATCCCGGACATCATAGATGTAACCATCCTCAGACCTGACATGGCCCTGACATCGGGGGAGTCTACGCAAGTGGTCTTGATCAAGCATACCAGCCCATGGGAAGACCGATTGTCGGAGGCAGGGATGGAAGGCCTAATGTGAGCCTGTGGAAGTGGGTTGTTGTTGATTCAAAGGCCTCTTGGGATTTGTTGGCTGTGAAGTAGGAGAGCCATCAGGAACATCCTGGAAGCAGCCAAGAAAGCTTCCTGATGGCTCTGGTTGAAGTGGTCTCTGAATTTTGTGACCATCTTGTATTTATTATATATCGTGTTTGATAACTGAATTTGAGGGTTCAACACAATAAATGTGAAATACTGTATCTCTACAGATCGAACATAGAGCTAAGAAATATATATGCCGATACGAGATTTTTCTTCTCCCTGATATCAGTGTAAACCTCAAAAAATCCCATATTGGTCGGTCCCTAATTCAATCCCTACAGGAGCTCGCTGTGAGGCCGCCAAAGTGAGTATATCAGCCATCAAACTAAATAAAAAACTAAACTATGAAACATGTTGGCTGTGCATAAACATACGGTTCAAGCTGACTACTTATTTCAACCCAAGATTATTTTAGTTTTGATGTCTTCAGTGTTAATCTACGATTTAAAAAGAAAACAGAAAAATCAGGACTTGGCAAAATGTGTCAGAACCAAAAGAAGATTACTGCTGTGGCTTGAAGCAGCACTTACACTCTTTTATTTTAAAATAATGACTATTAACTACATTATAACTTCCAGTGGTTTGACTTCATTAACCATGATTCACGTCTTCACAAACTAAGTTGCAGTTATCAGGAGGAGGGCGCCCTCTTGTGTTGAGAAGCTGCTACTGCGACGTTCACGGCAGGAAACTTCCCTGAGCCTTTTGTCAGCTTCACACGACATCAGTAAAAACAGATTTGAATATTTGTTCTATCACACTGTTTCAGTTTGATCCCAGGAGTCACAGCCTGATACACTGATGCTGCATTCAAGTCACATGGAGAAAAATCAGACATGAGAGCATCAACTTTACAAATATTCTTCCCATGAGCTCTCAGGTTGTAAAAAGTCTGAGTGAAGGTGAGATTCGAGGCTGTAGGTTCAAATGTGTGTGAATTGTTGAATTCTGAGTGAACAACAAGAAATACTAAATGTAAGAATCCGATTTGAAATCTTACACTGGTTGTAAAAGCTGTCACTCAGCGTGTTGCTCGCTGTCTCTGCAGTAGTGTCACATTTAGTTTCCTGGTGTCTCTGTTGGGTGCTTCCCGTTTACAACATTTCATATCATCACATTTGACACGTTTAACTTAGGGCTGTCAGCAGTCAGTGGTAAATCCTGATTAATTAAGGTCTAAAATTAATACATTGCTAATTTTGAATCGCGATTATTCTCATACTATTTTGTCCCTTCAGGCTCTCCGTAGATAGTGGTCCTCAGTGTCTCCCTGTAGTCTCAGTGATGTAAAAGAAGGACACTGCTGCATCTTTGAATGTCTCATTTCGCTTCAACAAACTCTCAGACAGCTCAGCTGACGAGTCCAAAGTAATATCCACCTTATGACATCACACATTGACCTTTGTTACCGTTCCTTTGAGCTGGTTGACCTCAGTTTGGGATCCCTAACCACTTTCTGTTTCTGTGCTTAACTTCATGTCCTAACCTTCCATCTACAGGAAGGGCCTTACTGTATTTCAAAATAAAAGCACACAGCAACCAAAGTATTCTCAACGCAAGACAGTACAAAAATTGAGAGTAGTGTTAGTTCAGACATCACGATCTATTATAATGCCTCATCAGCTGATGGCCAGCTGATTTGCTTCAAAGCATCCTATTGCCTAATAGTTCTTAAGCCGCCTTATTTAAACTGTTCTAGCTGCCTACTCTTTGCTGCTCCCTCTGCATCCCTCCTCCACCCAAGCTCCTCCTTTGATGCTGTTCTGACTTAATCCTCGTCATACTGTTGTCATTGACGCCTGCTCTGTTTGGGTTTTTGCTGCTTCTCTCCCCGCCTTAGGCTTTCCTTGTGTGCATGGGAAGGACAGGAATGTGTGCTGTTCCTGGTTATGCTTTTCATGGAAGCCCGTGGAAGAGAGGGGAGATCCCAGAACAGAGCCACGCCGCCAAATATAAAGAACTACAAATAAAGTATCAGTTCTTGACAAAGTGGTCCTGAATGAAATTCTATTTATTTTCAAATGTGAAATAATGGAATTTGAAACATTTTATAACGACATGAGACCTCACCTAGCTGAGCCAATGTGCTCAAAGAAGAAAATATTTAAAATGTCGACAGAGGACAGAAACTATTCTTTGCAACAACATTTATTCGACCTTCATAACGACAAAAATACAGAGAAAAAATAATTTACTAAGAATTGAAGGCAAGGAATAAATAAGAAACATTCAGGACGAGTCAAATCCATGAAATGTTCAAATGTTAACATCTTTACAAGTTCATGTTCATGGACAGGACAGCGTGCAAAGAATGTTTGTTAAATGTAGCACAGGTTTGAAACCGTGTGACGAGGCGGGGTTCCGTTTTTAAATTTGATTCTCGCTTGTTAAAAGGTTCCAAAGTTAAGATGTTCAACACTTCAAAGTTCAGGTGAGAGAGGAAGGAGACAGGTGGAGGGAGAAGGGCCCCTGTGTTCAGGTATTCCATAAGAGAAGGGCCCCTGTGTGCAGGTATACCAGCGAGAAGGGCCCCTGTGTGCATGTATACCAGCGAGAAGGGCCCCTGTGTGCAGGTATACCAGCGAGAAGGGCCCCTGTGTGCAGGTATTCCATAAGAGAAGGGCCCCTGTGTGCAGGTATTCCATAAGAGAAGGGCCCCTGTGTGCAGGTATTCCATAAGAGAAGGGCCCCTGTGTGCAAGTATACCAGCGAGAAGGGCCCCTGTGTGCAGGCATACCTATGAGAAGGCCCCTGTGGCGGGCTCGGGGATGTTGGTGGCGTGCATGTCGCGCGTCATGTTGGACTTCTCTCTGAGTTTGGCCTGCAGCAGCGTGTGCTCGACGACACCGATCCGCACGTCCATCTGAACGATCTCCTGCTTCAGCTTGGTCAGACTCTGCTTGATCTTCACCACCGGAGCTGAAGGACCGACACACACACACACACACAAGCAGCAGTCAGGAGAAAATACACACAGCCCACTACAGTCACGCAGAGAATCAGTCGCCATTTTTACCTCCGTCCGACATGCTGCTGCCTTTCTCCTCCATCTCCTGCTTCACCTTCTCCAGCTCGTCGCTGATCTGAAACACACACAGATTAAAATGAGAAGAGCACAGAGCTCACTGCATCAGTACCTGCTGAGCCTGATGAGCCGCTCTCCTGCTTTGGTCTCTCTGTCATCACGTTATGTATTCTGTAGCCAAATCGTTCTGTGCAGGTTTTTTTTAAAACAAAAAGTTTTGTGCATTTTTTTTTTTGTAGGAAAAAGTCTTAAGAGGAGGTGATAACTGTTGCTGCTGTGACGTTGCTTGACCAGGCGCAGTCTCCTGTCTGCTGCGCTGCTCTCACACTGCTCTGTAGCGTGAACGTTTGTTTCTGTCTCTGATTGTCGCGGTGTTGTTGTTAACAAAATAATAAATAAGTATAAGTCACAGTTACGATAATCCTTTTCCTCGTTTCACACGGATTGTTTTGCTGCAGATTTTACAAACTGCATCGTCTAAATCAGCTGGTTCTCATTTTTCATTTGACTGAAAGCTGAAATGTTCCCAAAGAGGAGAAGTTGCATTCGATTCAGGTAACAGTGCAGTCGCCTTTCTGTCCGTCTGAACAGGATGTGAGGTGATTACACGTGCGGTTTTGACGGTTGCCACCTTGCTCCGCTGTTGGCTCGTTTTTTCAGCAACAGCCTAAGTGCAGTAAAACCAAAGGTGCTACTTTGAGTTCAGAACTCTGAAAGACTCAGTAAATCTCAGTAAATCCTGGATGAACTGAACCTGCGGATGTTTAGGAGTTCCTGTTGCTCCTCTCTGGCTGCAGGTAAACCTTACAGGTGTGCACAACAAACAGACTGCCATCAGCCTTACTGCCAATTTCCTCTAATCCCTCTGTCCCAGCTGTCAGAGGGACTCGCGGGCATAGCTGCTGTGGAAACCTCTGAATCTCTCAGACGGGGAGCGCTCTGCACCACTGGGTCCGAGCGCAGCCATGAGCAGCTGTTCACACATCACGGGAGAACTACAAGATCACGCGGGAATAAAGAGAAAAAAACGTGCAAACAACATGTTGCTTTGTCTTTCTGAGGATGATTTGTTGTTCACTCTGTGCCTGTTTTGACATCATGTTGATAAAGTGATAAAAAAAAATATATGATTGTGAGTCCGTATATGTGTTTTATTTTGAAATTGACCAAACGCTCTGTGCGTTTCCTTGTCTCACTTTCGGTATGGGTCGTTCTATTCTATCCAGCTTGACGCGTGATTGCTTTTAAAGAGTCCATATTCTGCCCGTTAAGGGTTCTCATATTTAATCTATGTTCCTACTTTTGTACGTTCACAATAGATAAAGTTCTAAAAAAGTGTCTGTTTTCATGAACTGCTCCTCCTTGCTCCCTCTCCGCTCTGAGTCCGTCAGCTGCACTCTGTTGAGCCCACACTGTTAGACCCCACGTGGGCCAAGTCTGCTCTGATTGGTCTGCAGATCCGCTCTGTCGTTATTGGTCAGTTGCTCAGCACGCTTCTCGGAAATTTCAACATGAGCTGCAGGGCCACAACGAGCCAATGGGCTTAGATCAGTGATCTCACACTGACAATGACGTCGGACTGACACATTTTTATCGAGGGGGGCTAGAACCAAGCGTTACATGCAGCTAATGCTACAGCTAACAGGAGGACGTAGGAGAAGCCGCGTTTCCACAGACTTTGAATTTCTGCACATAGATGTGACTAAACATGCACAGGACACTTGTGCACACTAAACACACTAAAGAGCAGATAAAACCAGAAAAAGAAGAATATGGGACCTTTAAACTGCAAAACTTAAGTTTATCTGAAAGCTTTTAAATCTTTATGTAAGCAGCTGTTTGATCTCAATGGGAGTAATCTGGATGATTAAAGGTTGAATAAAAAAAACTGACCTCTGCCAGGACTCTGGTCCTCTCAGTCACTCCTCCGCTGGCCTGCTGGTAGCGCTCCTTAGCCTGGTGAAGAGCACAGCTTTGTAACCACACGTGAGAGAGGTGGCAGCAGCAGTTTGAAATCTAAACATACCTCAGGACAGATTATTTATTCACACTTTTCCCATCTTTTCTAACATTCCTCAAACCTCCAGTAGGTGTCATGTATCCGTTACAGTCCCCACATTGGAGGAGTTGAAGCTGTTGCTTTTGTGTTTACCTCGCTGAGTTTGGCCTGAGCGCTGCGGTACTCCTGGATCAGATGCTCCAGCTGGTTGTTGATGTATTTCTCTCTGCTGCCCACCTTCTCTAGAGTCTTACCGATGTCCTCCTGCAGTTTGTCCAGGTAGCTCTGCAGAGACGGAGGACGACACACCGGGGACGTCAGTTAAACATCTCGTCACTGCTTTTGTGGTTGAATATAAGGTCAGTGAACGCACCTTGGTGTCCTTGAGCGAGGACTTGATCCCGTCTCTGTGTTGATGCATCTGGTCCACGTGGATCCTCCAGTCCTGCAGGTCGACACACAAAGCAAAGCGTCTCAAGATAACACCGATAAAGATTGATTGATGATGGAGGGGAGTCATAGAGTCGCTGATTGTTTAATAATACTCATTTGTCAACCTTGTTGTCGGTCCTGACGGTGACTTTGAGTTGCGGCAGGACTCTCTCCACCTCCAGGCTCCACTCTGCTGCATCCACCGTCGACTCCAGAATCTCGTCCGGTTTGGAGGACGCGTCGGCTTCCTGTTTGAGAACGAACAACATAACGTTTGTCCCGATAAAGTGTCACAGATGTGCGATTATGAACCAGTGACACTTCTTCTGTGTTCAAGGGAACATTTCTAAGATGAGAGATTAGCTGCATGAACATTTAGTTAAATAAATAATAAATGACTATTTAAGTATTCCAAAATCATCTCTCGTGCTCAAAATGTCAAGCTGTCAAACAATTCACATTTTTAAATCGCGATTAATCACATGTTTGAAATTCCATTTACAGATAAAAATTGTTTTGGATCTTTGAGCTGAGAGTACTTTACTTGCTGTGTGCTTTTATTTTGAAATAAAGTAAGGACCTTCCTGTAGATGGAAGGTTAGGACATGAAGTTAAGCACAGAAACAGGAAGTGGTTAGAGATCCCAAAGTGAGGTCAAACAGCTCAAAGGAACGGTAACAAAGGTCACTGTGTGATGTCATCAGGTCAATGTGTGATGTCATCAGGTGGATATTACTGTCTGAGAGTTTGTTAAAGTGAAATGAGACATTCAAAGATGCAGCAGTGAGACTACAGGGAGACACTGAGGACGACTATCTACGGAGAGCCTGAAGGGACAAACAGGAGATTACTCAGGATTAAAGAAAATGTAAGCGTCTATTTCTGCCCTTTATTAAACGTGATGAACTAGTTAACGCTGACCGGCCACGTTTTGAATCATTTGAAGCTCTTCGTGTTTTTAGGAGAACTCACAGTGTGAGTGGTTCTTAACTTCAGAGCCTCCAGGTCCATCACGTTCTCCTCGTCCTCATCAGGCTCCTCCTGAGATGAGAACACACACACACACACACACACACACACACACACCACACACACACACACACACACACACCACACACACACACCACACACACACACACACCACACACACACACACCACACACACACACACACACACACACACACACACACACACACACACACACACACACACACACACACACACACACACACACACACACACACACACACACACACACACACACACACACACACACACACCAAATTATTGAAATTATTCAGTTAAATCGATAAAATGGAGAAAGATAAACAGGTTTTACATTCATCTAAGAGGTTAAAGGTCAGCAGTGACAGTAAGATATGGAGGAGCAGGACTACTGGACTCACGATCATCTCCTCCTCCACTCTGCTGAGTGTGAGCTCCGCGTCGTCCTCCATTACTGACTCTTCTTCTGTGGTTTCTGTCGGGTAGTTTGGCCTGGAGCAAAGACAAAAACCGGACACATTCAGCTTGTGGTTAAGTGTTGTTCCCCCCTCTCTCTCTCTCTACTATCCTATCTCTAAATTAAAGGCATGAAAAGCCCCAAGAAATAAAGCTTTAAAATAAATGTATGGATGGGAGACGTTCAGAGACGTGGGTAAGGAGAGCGAGGAAACCCGACAGCGTAACAACGAGCACCTTTTGTTAGACGCACAGAGAAAAGAGACAGGAGGAGAAGTGTTCCGGTACCTTCTGAAGGAGAACCCTCTCCTGCTCAGAGCTTTGTCAGCCAGCTGGTCCAAAACAAAGCAGACGTATTCTCCCGATCCCGACTTCAGTTTGGAGGGCGGGAAGTCCACCTTAACGCCCTGAACACACACACACACACACAGTGACGAGTCCAATCAGACACAAACAAAGCAATCGGTGCAAACTCAACAAGAACTCTGCAGCAGAACAACGTCAGCGCCCACATCTGAAAGGAACAAACGTGTTGCAGCTCGAGAAGCTCGGCTGCTCATGATGTGGTTGATATTGCCACACATGTTGTTTAGCTAAACATGTTGTCCTTGTGACTCCACTGTCACTGGAAATCGTTCCTACCGAAGTCCATGACTCTGTACAACAGCTCACCTCGTGTGAGCAGAGAACTGTCATCATGATCATATCTGTCTCTCCATACTGTCATCTGTTCTGCACATGTTACATTTACTAATGATCCCTGCACTCATGTTCACTTCATCTGTCTACTCACCGTTATATTGAATAGTTTCTGCTTATAACATGTCAACACTCATGCACTTTAACTTCCATTTACGACTCTGTTTTTACACATTTACATTCAATCTTTCATATTTAAAACTAATAATGCTAAGTTAAATCCTGGTTGTATATATTCACATTCTTAGTTTTGATATTTTTTGTGCTTATTTACTTTGTATTTAATATTATATTATGTTTAAATTTGCTAATATTGTGTTTTTTTACTCATATGGTGTGTTTGGACAACCTGCTGCTGTAACACCACAATTTCCCAGTTTGGGATCAATAAAGTCATTCTATTCTATTCTATTCTATTCTATATAAAAGCAGACGCAGACATGCTCAAATCTGTTCAAAATGTTAAAAATCAGCTGCAGATACTTTCATTCAAAGCACAAATGTAGCACATTATTATTATTTACTATGTTACAGTAAATAATTGTAATAAACATCATAATAAAATCTGACAAAGAGCCGTAAAAACACATCAAAATAAACAGGCAGGTCATAAAATCATAAGCAGATATTGAGACAACAGATTCGAGGGTTTCACGTGACTCACGAACGCCCGGAGCTCTGCCAGGATGTTGGACACGGTGGCGTTGGGTTCGTCGTACTCCTGCGGCTCGGTGAACGGCCTCCCCGCTGCGTTGATGAGCCACGCTGAGATGATGGTGAACATGTAGAACTGCTCGCCCGGGTTCAACCCCAGATACGGACTGGAGACAAAGTAATGTCTGACGGAGAGAAACAGAGGAGGGTCATAATGAGTAGGGCAGAGTTGAAGGTAATGAACAGGGGCGTCGAAGTGGGACTGACTACCCAGGGCCCCAGTGGGGAGGGGGGCCCTTCATGGACCTGAAATAACAATCTATTAACTATTAAGTAACTAAAATTGTCTGAATAAATGAACAAACATTCAGAATTCATTTCTGGAAAAAATGTGGAATCTGTCTCAAAGGCCCCCCTCCCCCCTTCTGAATGCGTAGAATGGTTTAGTCCGCCTGCACCTCTCGACCCTCTCGACTGGATTGATCTGTCGGCAGTCAGTCGAGTCAAGAGTGAGAGATGTAGCAGGCGGCAGATTAAACCAGATTAAGCCAAGAATATCGTTTTGTTCAATTTGTGTTTTATGCATAAATTCATCACATGAATCCTTCATAGATACGACTTCATACGACCCTATTTTGTAAAAAATATTACATGGCGGTAAAAAAAAAGTCCACTTTGGAGCGTTTTTCCCAGCTACAGTAACATGTTTGATATCAACAGATTCTTTGTAAACTGAGTCCGCTACTTCAGCCCAAAAAACAACATTTTGAACGTCAGGTGAGACAAATGATAATGCAGTGAAGAAGAATTAAAATGAAGTCAGAACTGAGAAGAACTATTACAGTCTCATTTTAAAATCATGGTAGAATCTAATTCACATTTATTGTTTGTTTACAGTTTATCATTAATGCCAGTAGACTTTTTTATTTAACAAGCTAACCAATAAGATCACTTTAGACAATAAAAGCCTTTAGAACATTAACTATAGCAAGTTAAAGAGTAAAATAATGCTGCTGGAAATGTTTCAACTGTCTGAAAGGTGCAAATATTAATAAGTTTACATTATTTTTAAGCTGTGAGGAAATATTACAGTGATTATTTATCTTCTATTTTCAGGGTGTAAAACAAAGAATAATTGTTTTTACGGGTCATTTGTTTGATGGTCATAGAAACTTTCCGGGTTAGTTTGGGGCCGTGGTAGGGGCCCAATGTGACATCTTTTCACGGGGCCCGGAGTTCCTGGCGGCGCCGCTGGTAATGAACATTATGACTAATGGTCTAACAGGAACACTGGTTTAGGGTTAGGGTTTGAGAATAACTGCTGGACTCTACACTGGGCCTGTCAGCATTACACCTGGACTCACCTGGACACACCTGGACTCACCTGGACTCACCTGGACACACCTGGACACACCTGGACTCACCTGGACACACCTGGACACACCTGGACTCACCTGGACTCACCTGGACACACCTGGACTCACCTGGACAGGTTCTTCATGTTGTGTTTGGTCAGAACTTCGTCCTCGTAGTTTAACACCTTTAACTTCTCCATCAGAGCCTCCATCTTCACAAACACCTGGTGAGCTGCACCTGGCCCGCGCTCCTCTTCGTCTCCTCTTCTCACCTCGTCCCCCATTAACAACTGTTTCAATCAAACACACCAGGAGCTGTTCTCTGTTCTCAGTTCTCTGTTCTCAGTTCTCTGTCCTCTGTTCTCAGTTCTCTGTTCTCAGTTCTCTGTTCTGTTCTCTGTTCTCAGTTCTCTGTTCCCTGTTCTGTTCTCTGTTCTGTTCTCTGTTCTCAGTTCTCAGTTCTCTGTTCTGTTCTCTGTTCTCAGTTCTCTGTTCTCTGTTCAGTTCTCTGTTCTGTTCCCTGTTCAGTTCTCTGTTCTCTGTTCTGTTCTGTTCTGTTCTCTATTCTGTTCTCTGTTCAGTTCTCTGTTCTCTGTTCTGTTCTCAGTTCTCTGTTCTGTTCTCTGTTCTCAGTTCTCTGTTCTGTTCTCAGTTCTCTGTTCTGTTCTCTGTTCTCAGTTCTCTGTTCTGTTCTCAGTTCTCTGTTCTGTTCTCTGTTCTGTTCTCTGTTCTCAGTTCTCTGTTCTGTTCTCTGTTCAGTTCTCTGTTCTGTTCCCTGTTCAGTTCTCTGTTCTCTGTTCTGTTCTGTTCTGTTCTCTATTCTGTTCTCTGTTCAGTTCTCTGTTCTCTGTTCTGTTCTCAGTTCTCTGTTCTGTTCTCTGTTCTCAGTTCTCTGTTCTGTTCTCAGTTCTCTGTTCTGTTCTCTGTTCTCAGTTCTCTGTTCTGTTCTCAGTTCTCTGTTCTGTTCTCTGTTCTGTTCTCTGTTCTCAGTTCTCTGTTCTGTTCTCAGTTCTCTGTTCTGTTCTCTGTTCTCAGTTCTCTGTTCTGTTCTCAGTTCTCTGTTCTGTTCTCTGTTCTGTTCTCTGTTCTCAGTTCTCTGTTCTGTTCTCTGTTCTCAGTTCTCTGTTCCCTGTTCTGTTCTCTGTTCTGTTCTCTGTTCTCAGTTCTCAGTTCTCTGTTCTGTTCTCTGTTCTCAGTTCTCTGTTCTCTGTTCAGTTCTCTGTTCTGTCCCTGTTCAGTTCTCAGTTCTCTGTTCTGTTCTCTGTTCTCAGTTCTCAGTTCTCTGTTCTGTTCTCTGTTCTCAGTTCTCTGTTCTCTGTTCAGTTCTCTGTTCTGTTCCTGTTCAGTTCTCAGTTCTCTGTTCTGTTCTCTGTTCTCAGTTCTCTGTTCTCTGTTCAGTTCTCTGTTCTGTTCCCTGTTCAGTTCTCAGTTCTCTGTTCTGTTCTGTTCTGTTCTCTATTCTGTTCTCTGTTCAGTTCTCTGTTCTCTGTTCTGTTCTCAGTTCTCTGTTCTGTTCTGTTCTGTTCTCAGTTCTCTGTTCTGTTCTCTCAGTTCTCTGTTCTGTTCTCTGTTCTCTGTTCTCTGTTCTGTTCTCAGTTCTCTGTTCTGTTCTCTGTTCTGTTCTCTGTTCTCAGTTCTCTGTTCTCTGTTCTCTGTTCTGTTCTCTGTTCTGTTCTCAGTTCTCTGTTCTGTTCTCTGTTCTGTTCTCTGTTCTCAGTCTCTGTTCTCTGTTCTCTGTTCTGTTCTCTGTTCTCAGTTCTGTTCTCTGTTCTCAGTTCTCAGTTCTCAGTTCTCTGTTCTGTTCTCAGTTCTCAGTTCTCACCCAACACGATGCTAACTGCTGTCTGTTTAGCTTCCTCTCGGTTGTTAGGGGCAACCGAGCGCTAGGTCGCTAACGGCAACGGCGAACGAAATAATGCTTAAAACTTAAATGAAGCACTTTCTCGAAAGCTTTTTAAAGTATGCAGGTTAAAACAGTACCAACAACTTTACATAACACCTCAGAAACGAGCTCCAATACTTAAATCGTCTAATTTTCAGCGCCGTTAAAAACCAGCGTCGTCCATTTCCGGTTTCCGCCAGTCTCCTGCTTCTTCTTCTTCTTCTTTGATTTTGTTTAATGGCAGTTCCTACGCGTTTAAGGTGTATCAGCGCCACCTTCCGAGCTGGAGTGTGGACCAGCATTATATCTTATTATTCGAGCTGAACAAAAGACAGAAATAAAAAAAATAAAAATGAATAGATGAATAGAAAGTTAATTTGAAAGCACATTAATTATTACATTGACAGAATGCAAAGCTTAAGAAATAATAAGTGCAATAAGAAAACGTGTTTATATTTTCATTTCATTGTACAGTGTTCCCCTTGTTATTTTTTTTGTATTATATCTTTGCTTTAATACAGTGTATAACTTCTGTACAGTTTATTTTAAATCACTTAGCTGTTACTACAACTTGTTTATTTTTACTTTTTCTTTTTCTGTACTTTTCTACTCTTTTAATGCTTTTCTATTTTATATATAATTTTAACTTTTTTTTGTAGAAGCTGAATCAGGGAGAAACGCACAAGAATTCCAGTGTACCTGTACTGTCCTGTACCTGTGCAAATGGCAATGAACATCTATTCTATTCTATTCTATTATGGGAGAGAGACCAGGGGGAGCACAATCATACACCACTGCACGGCTCCTACATCACACCTTTTGTACATTTTGTGTTTCTTATCTTTATTTTTTATTTTTATATTTTACATTTTACATTTTTAAATTATATTTTATATATTGTAATATCTTCTTATTCTGTATTATTTAAGTTGTTGCTAGTTCTGTTAATTGTTTAGCACTAATACACCAAGTCAAATTCCTTATATGTGTAAATGTACTTGGCAATAAATCCAGATTCTGATTCTGATTCTGATTCTGAAGATATTTGATGTTAATTGGAGTCTATAAAACTGATAATTAATCCAAACTGAACTTTTTTATTATTATCTAATTTTACTTGCATGTTTGATCACTTGTAAAACATATGTTTCAAGGTACACAGCAGGTGGCCCATTAATGGTAAATATTGTACATTATTTTAACTCAACTTTATTTGTCTGATGGCTTCAGTTACCTTACAGAATATATATATTTTTGTAATCTCTATACTGCTTTGTTTGGTCTGCAGGCTTTCTCCCTGCCTGCGTGTGAGCTCACAGGCCGGGCTCCCCTGTGACTGCGTTTGATTGACAGGCCTGATGCACGGACGATGACGCTGAGCGAGCCGCAGAGCTGCTTCACCGACAGCTCCAGCTCACCACCACCACTCAAAGAAACAGAGCACGGAGAAGTTGGAGGGAATCACAAATGTAAAAATAATAATCAGACATTTTGTACTCTCTTTCTTCAGATGTTGCATTTTAAAGCTCATTCTGTCTGGTGTTTTTGAGTCAGTTTGTTGAAACCACTGACTGTAAATAAAGATGGACAACCCGTCTCCACCTCCTCCTTTTGTACAAGTGAAGGTAAAATCTCTCCTGTGACAGGCGCTTACATATAGCATATTTGCAGAGCTGGGCACACATCCTTTAATCTGCATCTCATTCAGAGGGCTTTGTGTTTCTTTGCAAATTACTCTCAGCCTCCATGAAAGTGATTTCTAGGCGACACAGTTGTTTATCTGCTTGTTGATGCTGCAGAAATGCAATGTGTTTTCTCAGTCTCTCTTTCGGCCCCTGGTTCTCTGTAACGCTGACTGCTTCTTTTGTTCGGTGAATAGCTCTTCTTCTGTGGTCTCGTAGCTGTCACTGTGCACAAAGAAAAAACATAAATTCAGTCCTGGCTGAAAGAAGTTTAGAGCAGAGCGTCCCTGAATCGTAACCGGAGAGTTTGACTTTTCAGGTAATGAAACAAACCAAAGAACACGGTCCTGGATTAAGTGCAGACTCGCTCGTGCTAATGGTGACAAACTGTAAATCCCACCTGTGAGAGAGAATGATTACCTGTAGTTCTGCTCAGAGAACAGACTTGATAAGTCAGATCACGGGTATTGATGTGGGTTTTTTTTTTCACAGAAGAAGAAGTGTTCGCACCCTTAGGTAGAAGATGAAAATGTTTAAATGGAGTGGTGGATCCTTCTCTGCACTGGAATCACTCGGGGGCCGTTTCTCCTCCGCAGATTGCTTGAAGAGCTCGATTGTGTTCGGCTAATGCATAACAAACAGATGGAGCTGAGTGGAATCACTCTGGGGTGGCGTCTCCGTCGCTTTCTCTCTGCCTCTCTTTTCCTAAACGCTGAAATAAATCAAAAATAATGTTTTTTTTTGGCGTCGACAACTCTGCAGAGTGACGCAGTCTGCACGTGGCTCGGGGGATCACAGATCTGCCTGAACGAGGGGAAAATTAATTAACGTCATTTTGCTTCACTCCACTCTAAAGGCTTTGATGGGTACGGTTGCCTTGACAACCAGGAAAAGGTGAAACACAGGTGCCCAGTGGGCGACGACTGGCGGGAGGTGCAGACGATGTCGCTGTGTCGTCTTTCCAAAGGTTATAAAAAGCAGCCGTGCTGAAATTAGACGGAGCAGCTGACAGCCTGCAGAGAGCAGAGTGTGCAGCTCATTCATTCCCCCCCCCACACACAAACACACACACAATCACACACTTTACAGATGATTACAGTGAGGGTGTTGTTAAAGCAGAGTGGAACATGACACAGGGCGAGCAGGATCCCAACGCAAGGCCGCCACTCGTGGATACTTTAGGTGACCTCACACCTTGAAAGGTTTTGAAGCGGTTGACCATAAACGCGTTTGACATTAAAGCAAACATCCCGTGTTTCCTCTGGTCAGGTGTCCCTTCAAAATAAAGCTCTGGAAAAGGAGAAATGTGATATTTCTTCCTCCAGTCGGAGCATCTATTCCGACCCTCCATCTTCACTCACTTAATGTCTCAGCCGGTCCGTTTGATTGGACTCTGTGAGGAAGTAAGAGCCCCGGTGTTTGTTTTAGGGCCAATAAATCCACAATTGACAAAGTGCATGCTGAGACCTCCGCCCACACACACAGAGATGAGTCGAACTGTAAATTCCCTCCGGGCTGAACCAAAATGATTGGCGTTTCATTTAGGTGCGGGCGCCGGCGGAGAAGTGAATCTGCAGGAGCCTGCTGACTCAGTTGAGTGATCGTGTTTTGCTCGAGCCGACATCGAGTTAGTGATTTAATTTGAGCCGCGGAGAGATGAGCTCAGGGAGCGACAGTGGCGGAGAGGAGAGATGATCTGAGCCTCTGCTGCTAGCTGCTCTTAAACACAGGTTTCAGATGGAAGTGATCAAAACAAACACATTTAATCTGGGGGGTACCGGTGCATTCTCATCTATCTGTCTTTACTGGTTTTCACCCAAATGGGGGTGTGGTCTTTTTGGAGGGGGAAGTGGTAGTCGAAAGTCCTTCAAACCACTCGTGGTTTAATACGAGGGACCGGGGACCGGGTCCGACAACGTGTTTGACTCCAAAGTCTGATTCATTTGATCGGTGTTCTGTACTCGTATCGTACTCGGGCCTGCAGCAACATGTCCGATGTGTCCTCCCGCTGCTTCGTCAGCGACGTGTGAATGTGTAAGAATGCGATGAGTTACTTCTGATGGTCACCCTCTGAGCAGCCATCAGTGTGTGAATGTGTAGGTGTGACATGTGGTGTGAAAGCGCACGCCATGGTGTCACGTTCTGAACACATGGCTGGACATGCCGTGACTTGTTGTGATGAGAGAGCGTGCACCATGCACCATGCACTCTCGTTCGATCTCTCGTGAATCTGCAAAGTCCAGATAATCAAAACAGATGATTAGAGACTGTAGTCGAAGTTGCAAAGATCAAAAATACTCAAGTAAAGTACAACACCTTGGGTAACATGTGGCAAGTTTTTTTATTGCAGTGTAACAGGCTCATACAGGTGAGAACTTTATACAAAAACAAAAGTTATTTTTAATAACTGCTGGTGCTCATACAGTTAGGACTAAAAACAACAACACAAGGAAGGGCTAAATCAGCTGTTCAGTCAGTCGGAAGGGTTAAAACTGGATAACTGAAAACGAGAAACCGAACTGTTTTCAAAGAGGTGAAAATGTTCAAACAGACAAATGTGAAACTTTCTGCGGCCTTGAAGCACACGCTGACTCAGTAACAGCATCACAGGAACATAAATAGTCGGTTTTTAAACATGTATATATCAGAAAAAGTTGAATAAAATCAGCATATCAGCTAATATAAGCTAGCTGTAACAAAACACCAAAACACGTCGTTTCTATCATCTCTAACAAAGCAGCAGCCTCACTAATCACTGACGGAGAGTTAAGTCAGTGCTCACCAAACTTCAAAAGAAACTATGAATATCAAGCAGCAAAATTGAAAAAAAAAAAAATTAAATATTCATACATCAAAATTCAGCAGAGCTCGAAAAGCTTTGAAGCCACCAAAACGCACGCCTCAAACCCCTCCACGTTTACGTTCGGATGAGTAATCGCAGAGTAACGTCTAAAATATGACAAAAGCTTAGTGTCGAAAGTAAATCTAAGAGGCTGTGTTGCTCTGAAGTTCATGCAAAGTATTTTTTCTATCACTACCTACTGTACTGCATGTGCTGCTCAAACAAACTTAAAGCTGCACAGAGCAAAAGATTTGATCAAAGTGGTTGATAGGAGCTTAAAGGTCACATATTTTATTATTTTTTCTAAAAGGTTAAATAAGTGTCAGAGCTCCTCAAAACATGTGTGTGAAGTTTCTTGTTCTAAATCCACTCTGATCCTGTATTTGATCATGTCTACAAACCCCTCTATTTCAGCCCTGCTCAGAACAGGCTGTTTCTGTGTCTGTACCTTTAAATATGTAAATGAGCTGTGTCTGACCACGCCCCCTCTCTTGAAGGGCTTGGGTGTCTCTAGCTTTCTCGCTCCATGTCCTATTGTTTACGGTGAGTAGGCAGACTCAGAGGGCAGAACAAACACCTAGCTGTGGGACTGTCACCCACCTGGGGGAGGGGCTACTGCCCTTTGTGATGTCATGAAGGGAAAATCTCCAAACAGCCTTTTTGAGCACACATTTTCTGAAAAGTGGAGCAGGCAGAAGACGGAGAGGATGGACTTTTCTCTTCATTGGGGGGTTTGTAGACAGGCTAGAGACACATATTAAGAGTCAGAGGAACATGGAGAAGGGTATTTTGTATAATATGTGACCTTTAAAGCTGCACTGAGCAAAGATTTGGTCAAAGTGTTTGATAAGACCACTTTCCAAAAATACAAATCCAAAGATCTGAATTTAGGGGAGCAGTGTAAAGGGACTCTTTATCATCCATGTCCGGTGCAACCTTGAGCATCATTTTAACATTACACTCAGTATTTAAATGCACCTGGTATACTAAGCGTAATATACAAAATAGTATTAGCGTTTAAGGTACTGTTAAACTTTGTTAAAAGCTACCCATAACTGTACATTTCAAGGTACCCTTGTTAAAGGCTTCTTTTAGTCTCTGTTTAAGTTATCCTTTAGCATACATGTCAAGGTTAAGTGTTTAAAATTGGTGCCTTTAATGTTTGTTTCAAGGTAACAGTATCTTCAAAAAGGTGTCAAGTTACATTTGAGGTACCCTTTAGCATTTGTTTCTTAGTACCTTTGAAGTATCTGTGATAGGAACCTAAAGCACAAGTTTCCCGCTACCATTTGGAATTTGAAAGAAGGTTACCGTTTACCTTCAGTTCGGGGGTAGCTGGGGTGTACATTTCAAGGAACCCTTTGGGGTTTATCCAATTCCCTTTAAGTGTGTGTTTAAGGTACCCTGCGGATTAAGTGTCAACTTACATTTCATTTTTTTTAAAGTGACTCTTAATATATGCTTAAAGGTCATTCTAGCACTGATCAGGGAAGCAGGAATTTTCAGGTACCCTATAGGGTTTGTTAGGGGGTTAGCTGTAGCATAATTTCGGAGGTATCTTATTGTAACTTACAAGTTTGCCATTTGTAGTTTTAGAGACGTTCAGTCTTTTGAAGATTCCTTAATGGTGACTTCTGAGGTACCCTTTTGTATTCATTTTAACATGAATTTGAGTATCTGTTTCAGGTACCTTTAGCACACATTTCAAGCTACAATTAAGAGTTTGTAAGAATATTTCTATCATCAGTTTGAGGTTGCTCTTAAGGGTTTGTTAGATGGTTCCCTTAAGTTTCTTAGTGTTTGTTTTATGGTAACCCTAGTGTTTGTAAAATTAAAACCTTTACTGTATTTTTCAAGGTAATGGTGGCATCAGTTTAAAGGTACCTTTAGCATAATTTCCAAGAAACCAGTGGTTTTAAGGTACCCTTTAGCATCCGTTTGAAGGTACATTGAGAGTAAGCTTCAAGGGGCTCTAAGTGTGTGAAAGAAGGTTCTCTTAAGGGCCAGTTTTAGGTACCTTAAGTATATGTCCCATGTTGTTTTAGCCAAACTTTCAAGGTACTTTTTGCTGTCTGCTTTCGCAACATTAGCACACATTTAAAGCTAACCTTTAGAGTTTGTATAAAAGCACCCTCTGGTTCCGTTTGAAGGTACTTTTGGTTACGTATCAAGGTACCTTTAAGTGTGTTAGAAAGATACCCTTAGCATTTGTTTTTGGTGCTTTTACTTTAAGTTTTTAAGTTACCCTTTGGAGATTGTTAGAAGCTTCCTCTTTGTCTGTTTTATGTTCCTTTAGATCGACTGTTTTGCATTTCAAAAAATTGTCCCCAAAGTGTTTGTTTCAATGTACCTTCTTGCTGATGTGAATGTGGTCATGCTAACCTTATTTCACCCTTTCATGGTCTACACGGTCAGCTCCCAAAACTGAGTTCTGTCTCTTTGGCTCCCTGTGCAGCTTGAATATCTACCTAAACAATCACGGCGGTGGCTTTTAAGCACCTTAAAGTTTACTCTAACTTTACTGCCATGTTCCTAACTGCATACAGAAACCAGTCTGAAGTTGAATCCATGTTTATTATTTTCTCAGCGGGCTCCTCAGAGACCAGCTGCTGAGGCCTGCTCGGACCGAATTACACCGTCACCAGTTCAGGTAGTTTGTACAACAACATATGTACATCCAGATAAAATATCAAAACATGAACCTTAGACCAACATTCATAATCCTTAAGTAACCTTTTTTTTTAACATTCCAGCCATCTTTTCAAAATAAACCTTGACCCAACCTGTACTCCGACTGCGGACACGTATCACAACACGATCTGTTGACACTCTGAGATATGAACTTCTGAAGATTAATTTTTCTTACAAAAAATACAGATTCTCACATTGTTGTTTTAATGTATTTGTGGTATTGTCAGCAGGAAGTAACCTGACCCTGAATAAGAGCTGATAAGTAATCAGTTTATATCCTGATGAGTTTTGGTGTCGGAGCGGAGACCCATCCCAAGACCATCTTCTGTTTTAATACACTCCTGAAATAAAGATCTTCTTCATCGATGCCAGCTGATCACACCCTTTCTCCAATGTCCTTCCTCCTCACTGACATGTCGTCTGATCTACTTCCCTATCCGGGTGGCGCCGGCCTCCTCCACAGGCCCCTCCCTCTTGGATTCCATGGCTACCTCAGTGTAGGCGACCCCCGGGAGCTCCTCTGGTTCTGCGCTCTGGGCCTCGGCCTCGGCCCCGGCCTCTGCGCCCTCCTGGCCCTCGGCGACGGCTCTCTCCTTCTTCAGCTTGATGCGGAAGGTCTCTTTGTTCGGAGCCTTCTTGGCGATGTTTTCCTTCAACCGCTCGCCGGACTGTTTCAGCCGCTCGCCGGCTTGGTGCATCTTGTCCCTGCGCTCTTGCGGCATCACCTTATCTCCCAGGTTGTGGAACTTGGTGCCCAGGCTGTCTTTGGTCTTGTTCATCTTCTCCTTGGAGAAGGCGGCCTTCAGGGTCTCCGTGCTCTTTGCGACTGATTTCTTAATGCGTGCGGCTCTCGACGGGTCGGCCTCATCCAAGCTCAGGTACTCCTCGTCGGAGGAGAGGTCGACAGGGATGTCATACAAGTCAGGCTCGATCTCCAGCCCGTCCAGGCCGGTTCCTTTGGGAGACTTTGTGACGGCGACTGATGGGATCTCCGTCTCACCCTACGGAGAAGAAGAGAGGTCAGGAAAACAGCTTTTAAAACTTGAATTGAGAATCAAGCAGTGTGACAGTAAACCATCAGAGAATTGGAAAAATTAACATTCCTGGTTTCTTTACGCTGCTCTGAACAATGCTGCAGACCAACACTCCCTGCAGCCTCACGGTGAACTAATGACAGGAAGTAGACCGAGTTCTTAGCATCATTATGTTGAAAAAGACATCGGTGTCTGTGAAGATTAAATTCCAAATATCAGTATATTAAATGTGTGTTTTGGTTAGAGGAAGAACAGCTCCACTATCCGAGCATCAACTCACCAGAACAAGATTGCAGGAATGATTTGGCTTCACTTTTCTACATATAGGAGGTGGAGACATGTCGTCCATCTTTACACACAGACAGTCAATGATCAAGACTCACAGAGATGAAACTAATACCCATCTTCTCATCTGTCTCCTCTATCCATAAGAGATTAATTTCTGTGTTTTATCGTCGATGCACGTCCAGATAGAAATAATGTGATATTCCTTTGAGAGGCTCCATCATTCAGAACTGACCTGCAGCCTCTTGTCTACAGGACACAGGCTCCTCCATGAGATCGAGTTTGTTTATTTTTACCCACGAGGAGTAACTGAGACTCACTGAGACAGGAAGCCGCTGGCAGGAACAACACCTGTAATTCAAGATGGAGGCTAATAATAATGACGCCATCTGATTTCAGCAGAGAAGGGAAGAATGTTGCTCCGCTGCTTCGACTCAGACTGAAATACCTCAACGACTCAATGTGATGAAATATGGTCCAGAGAGAGAGGAAGATATGCCCGCACACTTAAATCACAATGATTCAACCAGAGGTCATCTTCGGGTGGTCATTTAAAAAAAAAAAATGGGGGCCACACCCTTATAAAAAGATTTCTCCACCACTAGGCTGATAGGCATTAGGATGGCAGGTGTGGTCAAACATTCAAAATGTCCAGAGGTGAAACACGTCAACATCGGCATCAAAGACTAATCCTAAGAAATACTAATCCTGAATGTTTGTCACTGGCAGAGTGTTAGAAGCCCAGGAGGCCTTAACTCTCGAGTAGACGGAGCTCCCCAACCTGAAGCGAGATGATCTGGGAATACTACCAGCCACCACCATCGGACTGTGTCGTCTCCACAACCACCGTGCACGGCATGCGCACCAAGGAAGTGTGGACAACAGGAACGTGAGGAATACAAAGGAGAAATCCTTCCTGCATCTTATCCCATCTCCCCCATCCCATTTTTCTTAACAATGAGTAAGATCTTTAACCGTAACTTACTGTATTTCAGAGTAAAAGTAGGGTTAAGTTCAAACAGGAAGAAAAGAACACTCAGCTAAAGATAGTACAAACATTCAAAATAAAAGTCTCACAAGTTTTATTTTTAAATGTGAAATAATGGAATTTCAAACATCCGATTAAAAATCTGATAAATCGCGACAAACATTTCAAATCGTTCGACAGTCCTACAAGGACATTTATGTCTTCTAAGTTACAGTAACTATTACGATGTACAATATGTTGGATTTGTTCATATCTGGGGATTTTAAACATTTTTAAACTTTTCCAAAAAAAAGTTTAATTCAAGGAAATGTTTAATGTCGCACTCTTAATAAGTAAAAACTTATATTTGTGGCATCCAAGCACGTGTGCAGGCGTATCTTCTCTCTGCTGCTTTAGCTTTTCCCTGACACGACGTGATGTGCGTATATCTTGCCCTTTCAAATGTGATCCAGACATTCATGCTCCCTTCAGGGTTCATTGTTATAACTTTTGTGATCTTATTGTCTGAGCTCTTTACTTTAGACCACACAGCATGTAAAATTCCGCCACCAGGGGGCTCTCAATCAAAACAATAACAAAAGATGCCTTCAAGGCAGACGGGGAATCATGGGAGTGATCCTCTCTGCTACTCCGTTTTAGTGTAAAACTTTTACATATTGTATTTTTAAATTGTGTTGAGGCTGCTGTGCAAATTTCTCCAACTCTAATCTGCCCATTAAACAATCCGGCTGTCATATGGATCCTGATGTCTAAGCCAAACAAAGTGGCTCCTGCCTGCTCCACCTGCTGCGCCCTACATCTGACTTTGGATGTTAAAGCTAATTAATCCTAATTAGACTGACGCCACCTGCACAGATCACGCTCATTAATCAGGGAGAAGTCGTCGCAGAGCGTCCAGACATTGTGAATGATACAATAATCACACCGGGGGGGGGGATTTGGGTCGAGGCATGAGCTGACACCCTCTGCTGGTTTGAATGTGATGTTTTGAGCACGCCTGCTCCTCATCAGACTCTGTCGACTCGTGTCTGATGAAGAGCAGGCGTGCTCCTTGATGAAATCAATTTGTGGAGTATTGGAGCCCCTGCAGTGTGCGAGCCGTCTTTCTCTTTGTTTTAAAAAATGGAATTCGACCAAACATAGAGATCTCGCTGCTGCTTTTCTCCTACTTGATTTGATTGGCTGCTTCGGCCAAAAGGGACAAATGGACGAAGAAAGCGCACTGTACTAGATGATAACAATAGTTTTGGCGACGCTTTCTCTCTACATGATCGGGCCCTTTCTGCCAAATTCCACCAGATGCGTGTTTTCAGTCTCAGCAGATACACAAGGCTTCTACTTTTGACCGATGGCTGAGCAGGGCGCAACAATTTACCACATAACATATCGAGCAGGACGGGACAGGAAGTCAGATACCAAAACAACATTAAAACATCTGGTTTATTTTCAGAATAAAACCCTCCGTTTTGACGGTTCAGAACAATGACTGTATGTGTGTTTGTTTATGTGTTTATAAGGGTTTTTATAAGAATTCATACCTCATATATCGTATTATCTCGCGCTGTCAGGTTCGATTCTGTAATTACCGGGGGAACTTCTTGGTATTGGAGTAGTTCTGAGATAGAATAACAATCTGATCCTGCACTGACGAGAGCTGGAACTTTTAGTGGACTCTATTTAATTAACATATTTGAGCTTTACATTGCAGCCATAAGAACCTGTCTGAAGAAATCTACTGAAGGAATTACGAAACCTTTTAAAGCTATTAGAATGACATTCACACCCAGGTGGAGGCTGTAGTCTCCAAGTGGGCGGCCCAGGTTCAAATCCAGCCTGTGGCTCCTTTCCCACATGTCATTCCCCACTCTCTCTCTCTCCCTGATTTCCAACTCTATCCACTGTCTGTCTCTCCATAAAAAGCCCAAAAATAAATAATCTGTACATTCCACCATTGCTCTGTTTTTAACACTTGATGAAGCAGGAATATTTCAAACCTCCTTGCTGCTAGCTGAGCGACCTCTGGGTTTCATTTCGACTCATATTCGCGTCATTGCTCAGCTTCTCTCATTGTCACACAGCAGAAAGATCACAAAGTAAAGTCCATTAGCTCGTCCTAAATGACGCCCTGTCCTCTGATGTCCAGTGTCGTGACAAACAGCCGAGGCAGAGAGGCCCTGGGTGTAAACCAGCGGACATTTATCTTTTTCTTATTACTGTCCCGGCCTTCATTATTCAGCCGCCGGCCACGACCGCCTCTGACAAAGCTCCTGTTGCTTCCTGGTTAAATGAGCACAGCTGAAGCTCTATATTAGGAGATGAACGGAGGCCTCAGAATAACCGACAGCACATCCGTCATGAAGAAACTCAACACTGCGACTGTCTGAGAGAAAGACTGAGCCACCGGGGAGCAGACATGGACTCCACAGAAATACAAGAGAGCGCGGAAACAGGACTGATGTTGTAGCCCGGATTGAAAATCAGACACTGGAGCAACGTCAGCATCAGAAAGTGAACTCCTTATTCATCTGATAATGGCCTCTGTAAAATACCTCATTTCAGCCTCTGCCTGGAAACGGTTCGTTTCAGCTACTGTCTCTTTAAGGCTCCCCCTCCCCATGTGCCCACTGTCTTCTGATTGGCCAGCTCTCTGGAAGCCTTCCTGGGAGGGCGCAAAACGCTGCAGGGCTGCCAGGAAAGAGCTGCTCTCCAGTGCTGGGAGAAGAGAGGCTTTCAACGGCATACATAGAGGCTTGAAGCCGTCTGGTGACATTCTCGGGAGCTATCGTTTAGTGCTCTCTGCCGACTCATCCTGGGATTACTCCAACATACGTTTACCTCACGATCTGAAACCTTACCCACGTTTAGTTTGGACAACCAGCATTGCAAAAAAAAATGCGAGCTTTAAAATGGTGCTCAGCAGAATAGGTCGACTGTTCATTTCATATTTACATTCGATTGTCAAAAACACACTGTTTACAGTACGGTACAGTCGGACGCTGCAATTCTTATCCATATACCGTGGAAACACCAGATGTTAGGTCAAAGACAGCTTTATAAGGAAGTGTGAGCTGCTGCTGAAAGCTGCCGTACTGTTGCTGTATGTGCTGATGTGATAAAAACATCATGTGAATTATACTCGGATACATTAGCGCGTCGGTAAACATATTCTCTTCCTCAGGACGGTTTCACCCGGTCGTCTTGACTATGGACAACTCAGAGTCGTTTCCATCAGGGGTGGAAGGGTAGCAGACAGATTCACTCCCATGATTCCCCGCCAGCCTCGAAAGCCCCCCCCGGTGGCAGAATTTACATACTGTGCGTTTAAGTTGTACAGATTTAAGGTATATGAAGTATTTGAAGACAATCCAATAAATGACATTGAAATAAACAAAAACACAGATGTAGGCGCTTTAGCATTGCAGATTGCTGAGGGTTAAGGGGGGCGGGATTTTGCAGTGGCAAGTGGGGATGATTGACACCTCTCTCTCTCCTTCTCTCTCTCTCTCTCTCTCTCTCTCTCCTTCTCTCTCTCTCTCTCTCTCTCTCTCTCTCTGTATGTTGACCCCGGTGTTAAGCTGCCATGTTAGAGGCTGACTCTGGTTGACAGCAGTTTATAGCGTGTCCCCGTTGGCAGTGAGGCAGAATGCTGTGGTCCCAGAATAGTTCTCTCTGTCATGGAGCCACAGCAGCTGTTAGTAGCACATCGCAGCCCGCTTTCTATTCTAAAGCCTGGACGTTAAACCCCGACCCCTTCCCCCCTCTGCCCCCACCCCTCTGAACAGTGACTGCATGTCTGCAGAGATGCGTGTAAAGATGAGTATAGACAAGTGTTCATCTCTGCTGCTTCGTCCATCTCCAACATCAGCAGGGTCTCTTGTGTTTGAGAGAGTTTTTCACACCTTTAGTTCGTTTGCTCTGGTCTGACTCATGGATCAGTTTGTTCCATTGTTGCACAATTACCTCAGGTTTGGTCTGTGTTCACACATGGACATTCACGAGAGGTCTAAAATGTGACATGCTTGAAGGAAATGCTCTCTGATTGGTGCAAATTTAGTCAGACCTTCTTCCGAGAAAAAATGTCCCTTCATGACATCACAAAGGGCAGTAGCCCCTCCCCCAGGTGGGTGACACTCCCACAGCTAGGTGTTTGTTCTGCCCTCAGAGTCTGCCTTCTCACCGTAAACAATAGGACATAGAGCAAGAAAGCACAGAGTACACCCAAGACCTTCCAGAGAGGGGGTGTGGTCAGACACAGCTCATTTACATATTTAAAGGTACAGACACAGAAACAGCCTGTTCTGAGCAGGGCTGAAATAGAGGGGTTTATAGACATGATCAAATACAGGATCAGAGTGGATTTAGAACAAGAAACTTCACACACATGTTTTGGGGAGCTCTGAGACTTATTTACACTGGTTGAAGAGGAGGAGAATATGTGACCTTTAAAGTGAGGGGGAGTGGCTACTTCTGATGATGATTCTGCATATGATATGATTCTGCATGAATATAAATTATGTTATTATTAAAATTACATCTCCTCTCAGTCAGCCTGCAGTGTCGTATGAAGAGGAATAACATGGAAAAAGTCCACAGCTCCGATCCGCTGTTTTAAAATCTGTCCATCTTTGTTGTTTTTTTGTTTTTTTTACAAGAGCCGTACCTTTTCTCACTCCTTCTCACTTCTGAAGGATGTCAAAGCATCTATTTGGAGTTACAAACACCTCGTTTTGTTTATTTTTAAACCCTCCATGTCATGAGATGACTAAACTGAATGTTTGTTCCTGTAATTTCTTCTTGTTTAGGCTTCAGAGAACTCGGCACTGCGCTGCGTTGCACATCACAACGCAAACTCTCAAGTGAATCATCCTGTTTTCTTCTGTTCCACCTGACCTGATTAATACTCCCCTCCAGGATGCTTTTCTATAAATTGCCAGCGTTGCCGAGTCGAGGGCTCTTAAGCGTCGCGCTTAAACCGCCATTCATTGCCTCACAACCCCCTCCCCTCGCTGCCTCCCTGCCATAATGAATCGAGTCAGAGCTGATTTGAGCAGAGACCTCTCCACTTTGCTCTCAGAAGTTTCTGCTGTCAGAGAGAATGAGCTGACTTTATTTCTGATCCGTAACTTAATTTTACCCCAATGCCTACAAGGTGTGTCTGTTAATCAAGACATGAGCTGATTGGCTGCTGACTGGATGCAGAGACTATTATTACAGTTGATAAGAGCAGACTAAAGAATACAGCAATCATAAAAAGGACTTGACTTACATGTATAACACAGTCAGTATGTTTAAGTGTGCAGGCTCTGTCCCTAAAAATGTTAGAAAATCACTCCAGAAATGTTTTAAAGGTCACATATTCTTCTCCTCTTCAACCAGTTTAAGTAAGTCTCAGAGCTCCTCAAAACATGTGTGTGAAGTTTCTTGTTCTAAATCCACTCTGATCTTGTATTTGATCATGTCTATAAACCCCTCTATTTCAGCCCTGCTCAGAACAGGCTGTTTCTGTGTCTGTACCTTTAAATATGGAAATGAGCGGTGTCTGACCACGCCCCCTCTCTGGAAGGACTTGGGTGTACTCGGTCTTTCTCGCTCCATGTCCTATTGTTTACGGTGAGAAGGCAGACTCAGAGGGCAGAACAAAAACCTAGCTGTGGGAGTGTCACCCACCTGGGGGAGGGGCTACTGCCCTTTGTGATGTCATGAAGGGAAAATCTCCAAACGGCCCTTTTGAGCACACATTTTCTGAAAAGTGGAGCAGGTAAAAGACAGAGAGGATGCACTTTTCTGATCATTAGAGAGTTAGAGAAACATGGTGACAACAACAGATTGTAAAGGCTCTCGACAGATTTGATGACTGGCTGGTCGTCCAGAAGATATGATTAGTGGAGACAGAAATTATAATATAATGATATTCAGACTTTTCACCAATGTGAAACAGGGGCTGGTTCTGGGCTGGTGCTAGTGCTGGTTCAATATGCAATATTTTGGATCCACGAAAGAGCGAGTTCCATTACTGGAACTGGCTTGGTGGAAAAAGGGGGTCTTAGTGACGGCAACTGGAGTTTTGGAGCCCGAGGATGGCGGTCAGCATTCAGTATAGGAAATTCTGTCTCTCAAACACAAAATAAGGCCAGGATGAGATGTACTAAATTGGTCAAGACATTGCATTTCAGGAAACTGAACAGGTCAAATCTACCTTTACACTGATTGTTAGGCGATCGTGTGCACGTTGCCTCATTTGACGACCACCTTCAGGGGTTCTTATTACTGCTTTTCAAATTTTAACATGATTGGGTCCAGTTGCATTGACTATTGCAACTCCCTACTGGCAGGTCTTCCTACACGCACCATCAAACCTCTGCAGATAATCCAAAATGCAGCAGCACAACTGGTCTTCAACCTCCTTAAAACAACACGTCACTCCAGTGTTCATCTCCCTCCACTGGCTCCCAGTTACTGATCCCATCAAATATTAAAACTCTGCTGCTCGCTTACAAAACAGCGACCAAAATTGCTCCTTCTTACCTAAATTCTCCCATCCAGGTCTACACTCCCTACACCTCCTTCCAATTAGCGGTGTATTTAAGCTGCAAGATTTCCGCTCTCTCCCTCTCTGCTCTTTCATTACCAGCTCTGACCTCCACCAGTACTGCAACCCTGCAACCACCACCCCAGCATCCACCTGTAGACCACGACTGGGGGGTTTAAGATACCATCCCATCACTCCTCAAACTTCTGCATGTTACACAAATCTGCGAGGAGCGAAGAGGTCAGAGACTAGATGGCAAACACAGACTATGTTTGCTGCAATAAATATTTTAAACGATACAAACGTGAGTTGGCTGACTGAAATTGGTTTTGCCAGAATAGAGGGGGTATGGTTTTCTTCTCAGAGATCCCCTCAAAGTCGGAAGTCAGAGGATTTTACTGTTTCGTCCTTAGAACAAATAATTTATTTACACCATCAAACTTTAATCCCTGTTAGCTTTATCTTTCTTTTCCTTGTTTTTAGCCGTCTGTATATCTTATTCAAACTTCAGGAGCAACTTTTAAACGTGTGTCAAATAGCTTAAATATTTACACATGTAGCGCTTGTCCAGAGAATCTGATGAAGGACTTGAACTTTTAGATTTCTGTGACTTAATACAGTTGAGTAAAACTTTATCACTTGAGCTTGGTGTTTCTTAAAGACTTTTAAAAATGGCTGCCACCAGTCTCAGTTACCAGTGGTCACATTTTAACCTTAAAGGTTAAAAAGAAAATTTAGAAAATGATCATCTATAAACTCAAAAATACAACCAATCATGACATTAGCTCTTTGCTCACCTGATAGATGACGACTCTGAACTTGTTGCGGGTGAGCAGCTCGTCCTGCGTGGTTTCAACCTTCTTGACGCGAACGTTTTGCTTCTCGACGCGCGACCGGACCTCCTTCACATTGGCGCTGACCTTGCGGGTCTTCTGCAGGAGCTTCTCCACCGTGCCACTGGTCTCGTTGTGGTCTTTGGCCAGTTTGAGCACGTCACCCTGGATGGTCTTGATGTTGTTCTCTAGCTCCAGCTGGCGGTCCTCCATGCGCTGCTGGCAGGACTGGACGTTATCGATGATGCCCGCCACGCGCTCCAGCAGAGACAGTATAGTCAGGGCGCTGATGGGGTTCCCGTCCGCGTCCTCCACCCCGACGATCTCCAGCTTCTCCTGCACTCCGGCTGTGCGATATTTGTGCTGATCCATCGCTGTATGGAAGATCTATCACTTAAGATTTGTTTGAAAGTTGCAGAAATGGGGTTTAACTTGGACAGAGTGGAGTTACCAGAGGAGAGACCAGAGAGGTGAAGCACCCAGCCGCTGTGTGCCGACTCAGGCCTGCAGATGAGGAGAGAGGGAAAACTCCACCTCCTGCCCTTTTAAAAAAGGCTTCAGGATCCAAAAGGAACCTGACTTCAACTCTCCTCGGGATCTGGGCCGGGCACTAAACTCAGAGCGCTCACACGAACCCCCCAGCTAAATATAAAACTCTTTGTAAGGCGACACTCAGAAATGAGGGGATGATGGAAACCCCCGTTCAACTCCTGCTCTGCTATCTCAGAGCCACGCACTGATTCATAATTTTCCATTATTTGCTCGTACGTTCATGCTAACAGCTGCGAAACTTGTATATCAACAACAGGCCAGGTGTCGTTCTGCAGCTCTGCTGTGAAAAATTGCCCTGGGTGTCTCCTCTGATTACATCGAGCTGGAATGTTTCAGGGATTAAAACATTGCAGCGCTGACCTTTTCACTGTCCCGCGGGCTGCAGAGTCCTAACATCGATGGTGACTGAGATGTGACGCTCTTTATAGAGACGGCAGAGTGACACTTTCTCAACGCTCGCTGCTCTGAACTACATGAGCATACATGATGTGCAGAGTGTTCGGTGCATGTCAGCGCAGAGATACGCTGTTGGTCCTTAAAGCTTACAGTTTGAAAAAGTCATGAACTTCATTTTCTTCTATAAATAACACAGTGTTGAGAAAGATTTAGTGTCCATAAATACACCATCCAATGCGTTAAAAATAACACACTCACTGATGAATGAATTCTAACAGGGTAAGCTTACATGACTGACTCCCACGCAGGCCTGTGCTGGTCTCAAACGAGGCTAAAGGTACGCAAGTTAAGATACCCTACGATAGCATTTAATAGGATGCTCTTTATGAAAAGTTAGCGTTCAGGTGTTTTCAGCGCAGTGCAGTCAAGTCCAGGATTACCTGAGTCTGAGGCATTCAAAGATGGACTGCAGCCTCTTTTATTCTTGTGTATGTGTTAGCATTTGTTAGCTCGATCAGTGTTTGTCATACATTGACTTATTTGTGGGAGCTCTTGATGGGATGATCAGTGCGCTGTTTTAGAGATGACTGATAGCTGAATCTGTTCAACTGAAGCCAGCAGCTGCTCCTGTTTCTTAATAACCCACCCCACCCAACCCCACCCATCCAGTCCTTCCCCCTCCCTCCATCATACCTCCTCCGGTCTGTAACTCTATATTTACTGCCGGGTAGCGTGCCTGAGTCCCTGCCTTGTGTAGAAATGTGGGACGCACACATACTTAGACTTAGACTTAGACTTTCTTTATTGTCATTCAAACTTGTACTTTACATTGCAGATAAGAACGAAATTTCGTTGCATTTGGCTCGTTCTGGTGCAGGATAAGAACAGCAGCATGTATTTACATATAAAAAAAAAACAGCACATGTGAAGAGTTGGTAACCTCTGCTCTGGATCTTGCGTCTGCAGACTAACAGATAAAAAAATTTGAGAACATCACTCATGATGTAGCCCCTCCTCCCCTCTGACAGGTGGGTGTAACAGGAGGGACTAACGAGACATAGATGAATACCATGTTTAACCTCCTCAGACCTCATTTTCAAATCCCTGAGTCACAAAGAAATGTGAGATGTTTCGGCTTTAGAATAAACTTGTGAAGATGTCTGATCACAGACTCACTCAAAATATATTTAATTGGGATGCTTTTTTTCATTGTGAATTCTGGGCCAATGACCTGGAGTCTGTATTTGATGTGAATAATATTTCATCAACAGGTTACTCTGTGAGATCCAGGACATTAAAGGTCACATATACAAAACTTCACTAACTCTAACATGTGTCTCTAGTCCGTCTACAAACCCCCCAATCATGAGAAAAGTCCATCCTCTCCGTCTTCTGCCTGCTCCACTTTTCAGAAAATGTGTGCTCAAACAGGCCAGTTGGGGATTTTCCCTTCATGACATCACAAAGGGCAGTAGCTCCTCCCCCAGGTGGGTGACACTCCCACAGCTAGGTGTTTGTTCTGCCCTCTGAGTCTGCCTTCTCACCGTAAACAATAGGACATGGAGCGAGAAAGCACAGAGTACACCCAAGTCCTTCCAGAGAGGGGGCGTGGTCAGACACAGCTCATTTACATATTTAAAGGTACAGACACAGAACAGCCTGTTCTGAGCAGGGCTGAAATAGAGGGGTTTATAGGCATGATCAAATACAAGATCAGAGTGGATTTAGAACAAGAAACTTCACACACATGTTTTGAGGAGCTCTGAGACTTACTTAAACTGGTTGAAGAGGAAGATAGTATGTCAGCTTTAAAGAGCCCAAAGCGATGTGGATCAGTCTTGGGCGCTAAAATCCAGTGTTCCAGGCCTCCGTCGACTTTCGTTAGAAGTTGCACATGCTCAGTTACTCATATTCAATACATGAGGTAAGAGCTTCAAGAATCGCAGTAGAAAATGTGCTCATGGTCGCATTTTACACCAACACCCAAAAGGAGGCAGCAGAGTGAAACGTCCCATGAACAGCGACATAAAGAGCTAGACGTGCAGCGTCACTGGATCTGAGAAGTGACTGTTTATAAAGATGGATCAGAGCAGCAGAGCTTAGGACACATATGCCTGTAAGTACGAGTGCATATGGTGTTGTTTAAGTTTGTTAAGCAAAATTGCTTGAGTTAAAATAAACTTGCCTTAAAATTATAGAGATGCTAATTCTGTTAGCCACTTAATGGCATTTTCTAGTATGTGTTAGCATCAAGCTAACAAACCAAGACATACATCCTGGTGCATGTGCCCCCTGAAGAACAATGCACCAGCCGCCACTGGTTACAAGAGCCGATTAATGTACATTTGTCCCAACTGGGCGACATGGAATTGACAGTTAACACATAGCCTACTTTACTTAAAGAGGTTCAAAACCTCACAGGGATACAGATGTGTTTCTTATAAATCGAGCACTGACATTTAAATACGGCAGATTGTCAGTGTTTAGTATGGATTTAGGACACCGCGTGTCTGCAGAGAAATAAACGAAAGCAAACAGTTTAGTCTCCTGTGACTGATCACACAGGTCATCTCAATTATTTGGTTATGCTGTCAAATCTGTCTCTCTCACACACACACACAAACACACAGAGGATTTATGTAAATAAAATAATCCATCACAAGAAAGTGGAATACCTTTTGATATGAGAGCCGTGTCAGAAGAAGAAACAGAAGAACTCTCTCAAATAAAAATGAACACACCATAAAAAACGAGTCAGCCGGTTTGTTCTTAAAAAAAACATTTCCTTTTTTTATTTTGGCAGAGACCTTAAAATGGCCCCTCAAGAGTCTACATGCAGAATATTAACATGTCAAACACATTCTAGTCACATTTAGAGAAGTCACGGCTGCAATGGTGGACAACACGTAGAGACATGTCACTCAGCTGACCTACGACTTGTAGGCGTCGACCCGGGCGTTACAGAGACACAACTCCTGTTACAGAACATAAAATCATAAACACAGAGAAGACAAATCTCCCTGAACTTAAACTTTTTTTGACCCTCAGTGCAGCAATTTGAGTCCCCGACAGATTTCCCTGGATGATTCTGTGATTGTTGCGTCTTTAAATGGCTGATTTTTAAGAAACGTTTATGCAAAGTTTGGATGCAAGGTGGGATGCTTTGAGAGTTTTATTCTGTGCAACACATTAGACATCCAGTTAAGTGACCAATGTAGCAATAGAAGAGAAAATTGGCTGAGCAACTGACGCCATGTTTAGGCAATTTCAGTGTCGGGATGCCAAATAAAGCCTCTGATCGGACAGCAGAATCAACCCAGGGCATCAGAAGCTGAAGTGGATGACTAACATGAAAACATGGATAATTAACTGATCAGCACAGAATACTGTAAATGCAGCCATGACATGTCTTAAACCCTCACATCCATGACATCTGCGTAGCTGGTTTTGGTCCAAATTTTCACAGTAAAAATGCTGGTGTGACCGCCGCGCCTTTGAGCTTCTTCCCCAGACATGAATCTGTTATTCAATTTGTCGTCTACAGCTACATTTAAGTTCTCCTCACCCTTTTTTTCCATAGATTAAGTTTTAGTCCTTGAAGCTTTAATTTGTTGGAAATGGCCGTGGCATGGAGTCGATGCATAGTTAATCGCCAGACTCTCCAATTGGCCTCTGGGACAAAAAAGTCTAAGACTAAAAAAATAATAAATAATAATAACATATATTAGGGCTGTAAGCATGAACTATCTTTAATCACGATTAATCTCATGTTATTTTGTCCCTTCAGGCTCTCCGTAGATAGTGGTCCTCAGTGTCTCCCTGTAGTCTCAGTGATGTAAAAAGAAGGACTCTGCTGCATCTTTGAATGTCTCATTTCACTTTAACAAACTCTCAGACAGCTCAGCTGACGAGTCCAAAGTAATATCCACCTTATGACATCACACATTGACCTTATGACATCACACATTGCCTTTGTTACCGTTCCTTTGAGCTGTTTGACCTCACTTTGGGATCCCTAACCACTTCCTGTTTCTGTGCTTAACTTCATGTCCTAACCTTCCAGCTACAGGAAGGTCCTTACTGCATTTCAAAATAAAAGCACACAGTAAGTAAAGTACTCTCAGCCTAAGACAGTACAAACATTCTAAATAAAACCTAACAAGTTTTATTTTGAAACGCAAAATAATGGAATTTAAGACATGCGATTCAAACATTGCGATAAGTTATTGAATTTTGGCGATTAATCGCGATTACAAATGTAATCGTTTGACAGCCCTAAGATATATATAAACATTGCACAAAAAGTAAGGAAATTTGTGTTTGGTAGATTATTTATTTGTTGTAACAATGCTTCTCAGCAATAAATCTTACACCGTTAGATAGCCTGTTTAATTGGCAAGTTTTTCATGTGCGCAACCCACATACTCAGCTCTGCTGCTCATCCCACAAATGCATGTTCCTTGCGAATGTGGCACCATTTAAAAGAGAAATAAACAGGCTTTCCAACAGTATAATATTTATTACCATAAGCATTGTTACAACAAAGAAATAATCTACCAAACACAAATTTCCTTACTTTTTGTGCGATGTTTACATTTGTTAACATCACACCTGGGAAAAGGCTTTTGTCTAAATTAAAAATAGTTTCA